TCTTGAAAGCCTTCTCTTGAGCCAGACTGGCTTTGTTCACAGATCTTACTTTTCTGACTGTGGGCATTGCTTTAAAATATTGTCTTTGCATGGCTTTCTGATCACTGTTTGTGTATTCCTGGAATTCTGAAATTAGACTAGTAATTTGAAAAGATCACCCTACATCATGACTACTGATGTAGAGATTTTGATGGAGCGTTTGGTCTGTCCTGTGTCTTCTCAAGCTTTGTTTTGGACTGAGATATGTGGGGCCTCTTTCCTTTTTTTCTCCTTAGCTACCGGAACTGAACCACATCAGTGTTTTTCTAACCTGTATGTTCATTAAACTACTAGCTAAAATAACAGAATCTAATGTCTCCCTGCTTCACCTTTTCAGACAGTGATGTTTTTCAGAACAGTTAGTCATTGGGTTACCTCAGTGATAGCTTCATCTTTGTCTTCCTGAAACGTGATCTGATCACAAGATTGTAGGATTTTTCTGCTGCCTTTCTCCCAGGTTGCAACATCCTCTTTGATGGCAAATTCTATGATTATCCTGATCTCATTCACATCTTTGCTGCTTAAGCACAGCTTGATTATGTGTGCATATATGTACACAAGCATACGTGCATATGTACGTATGTATATGTATTATATACACATAATACTGCACATATTCTTATTTGGTGTCTTAGTTCAGTCATATTCCCCCCACATTTCACATTGCAGGAGACATTGTGTCTTTAAAGAAATTCTTTGATACCTGATTTTCAACATCCAATTATCTTTTGTGCTTTTTTTTAAATGTCTTTTTTGCTTCAGACTGTGTCAGGGTAATCAGTGTTCTGTGGCTTCTGTTATGAGGTTGTTTTCGCCATTCTGTGCGTTCTCTGTAATTTCTTGTGTCTGTAATATTGGTCTGACATGCCTCATATTTTACTTCTTTTGTGCACTTACTTAAAAACATGCACATAAGCACTCAACTGCCCAACAGGAGTGATGCCCTCCAGTAAGTACATCAATTACAGTGAAAGCATAGTGAAAGTATAACCACTGTTTTTGGGCTGTTCTGGTAACTGTAAGGAATTATATTAACGTATGCAGGAGAAATCTATATTCAGATTTCTCCCACAGCTTAGTCCTGCAAAGGTGTTCTTTGGAAATGCGAGGGAGAGAAGAAGCTGGGAGAGGCATCTGAATGTGCTTTGAAGTGGTTGGATAGAAGGAATGTCAAGAAAATGGTCTTTTCTGTTTTACATTTGCATATGAGCACTTGCTTACTTGCAACAGTGTAGCTCTGAATTTGACTGAAGAAGTTTAAATTCTTCTCACTTCTCTCCAGTGAAAGTAAGCCCACCTTTATACACCGAGCTTTCTAGGTTTGGAATGAAGATGTTGTAAAACTGTGCTAAACCCAGCAGTTCTTGTGGGAGGGAACGTATTGTTTTAGTGTAAGTAATAGGATGTTATGCCAGAAGGACATACCTCGGAACCTTTGAGACAAGATTTTGTCAGTGGTTAAAGAATGGAGCATGTGCATTCTTGAGAGATAAATGGAGAGTCTGGCTGGCCTGTTAATTTTTGTGCTCACCTCCCTTGGGGAGGTCGCTGGGCGGAGGGTGGGCTACCAAATTAAAGGCTGGGAGACTTACATCAGCACCCAGAACTGCACAAGAGGAAACAAAGTTGTTAGGCAGATATGTGAAGGGGAGATACTAGCTTGGTATCTTTTGGATTCTGTTTGCTTGGAGAAACAGGGGACTACCTAGAGGATGTGCATATGAAGAATGTGAACCTGGCAGCAGGCGTGGGACTCAGCATTGGGAACTAGGAGGTACAAGAGCTCATTTTTCTTACAGCAGGCACTCCTGCTTGCAGAACACATGCTGTTGCAAAAGTGAAATATAATACTGTTCACTGAAATCCTTGCCTGGGCCTAAGTCATTGGCTTGTGTTTCTCACATTCTCATTTGTTTTTGGGAACTATTGAGTTTGCTAGCCATTCTTGAAATTGTTCTTGCACAGACTTCTCAGTGCTCATTTGGATTCTTAAGCAAATAACTCTTAAACCATTGAAATTGGGAGTGAAATCAGCTGTTGAGGGCAGGAAAGCTTTCCCAACCTGCTAGTTAACTTGTGAAGCTTTTTATTGTCTGTGGTCCATTTTGTCTGACAGCATTTCTGGTTCTCTGCACTGTTGCAGTGGTGTGCAGTCCTGTGCTTTCTTAGCCATAGGGGATCCACAGGTAGCATAGCATAAATAATGAAAGCTTTATTTAAAGAGCGAAAGTATGTATTTTTAAATTGTTTCCCCTCTTTTAGTTAAACTTCCTGCCTTGCCAAATGTTGAAGGATTTTAATCTGTCTTGAGGAAAGCTGCAAATTATTAGAACTGCTGATTTATGGAAACAAAGCATCGTTTCTAGACTGCAGGACAATGAACACTTGTTAAAGCTTATGTTTAGCACAGACTCATAATTTCTGTTGCTGAAGAATGGAAACTGGTATCTGAATAGAAGTATAAGTGTGTAGTGTGCACAGGGAGTAGCCAGTACAGAGCCGTAGACACACCAGGGTCAAAGATGATGATTAAGGGTTGTGAAACTAAGGAAGAAGTTCAAGTGGAAATCCGGAGTACGAGGAAGCAAATGAGAAGAAAACAGCAAACAGGTATTGGCTTGGGTTGTAGCAAGCCCTGAATTAGAGGTGGGGAGAGCCTACCAGAGACATTATCCTAAAGATGCGTGATTTCTTACTGTACTAGTTTGCTGAGTGGTTAAAGTGCCAGTTGATAAGTAGTATCTTTTTAATTGCTTCCAGAGGCACTTTTTATTTAAAATAACTTCCCTAATGCTTTCTTTGTTTTTCTTTTTCTGTTTTTCCCCTACAAAAGCTAGTGTTTTTGAGCCAAGTTAAGACTACTGAAGACTGAATTCTTCTTGGTAACTTTCTACATACCTGTTATGCCATGGCTTTTCAAGTTGTCTTTTTGAAACACAAATTGCAGTCCACTTTTGTAGGTAAAATGGGTTACTTATTGTAACTGTGACTTGTCAGGCAAGCTGAATGTCCTTCAGGGGACGTCCAGAGGCTTTTAAAAATCCTATTAGAAGATTTTGTTTGCAGATGGTACAGAGGATAAAAAAAAAAAAAAAAATCAAAAAAACCACACCACCCTATCCATCTAACTGCTGCCTCTTTTCTCAAGGGCAGATTACTCTTAAGGTGCAGCTATGGCTGAAATTTTTCTCTGTTGTCTATAAATAAAAGTAAGACTCTCAAATATCAAGGGTTCTTGGAAATGAATTTAGGAATACGAAGCGCAAAGCTTTACATATTTTGTGCGATTCATTTATGTTAATTAAAACAATATAAATGTCACAATCTTACTGCAAATGTTAAGTCTGAATAGTGTGTTGGTTCTAAGCACGAGCTTGCCAGGATCAGAAGGCAGTTTTGTTGAATGAGTGTAGTAGGATGAATGATGTGACCTTTTAGTGCCTCTTACAAGTGATTGCTGAGTAAAGTAGCAAGATTTTTGACTGATGGTGAATGTGTAGGGCACAGATGAAAAATACAAACACGTGTATCTGCCACTGCAGTTTCTTTAATATGTGGCAAAAATAGGGTGGAATTTCCTAGTGAAAAGCTGAGCTATTCATAAGGATCCTTTTTGATACACACATGCGGGATTTACTTTACTTTGTATCGTTATTGTTTTCAGATGGCATTATCTGTGTAGGATATCCACCCAGATATGTGAATAACAAAGCATGGCTTGCTAACAGCGCAAAGGCTACATGCTTTTATTTTATCTTTTTTTTTTTTTTTTTTTAATATAAGAATCTGGGAATAGAATGGTTGGTTGAAATGTCAACAGTGTTTGTTTTTATTCAATATTGACATTTTCTACCCTGTCAACTAAGTCTTGAAGATGCTTTGGAGTCGTGAGTGGAAAAAGAAATCTAAAACTTGGGTAGGCAATCCCCTTTGATTCTGTTTCTGAAGAGAGCTGTTCTTTATGCTCATATTTCAATCTCCCTTTCTTCTCCGAATATAAGGTCGGTGTGAGTGGTCTCTTGGATCTTGAGAGAAATGTATGAACAGTACTTATTTTGGAATTAATTGTAAAGATTGCACACTACCTGAAACTATCTGTTTTCAAAAGTAGCTATAATTAATATTGTCATGATAATGATAATGACATTCTAGTATGGTGATTTTATTTTATTTTATTTTTTTCTGCTACAGCTACTGTTAATTCTTTACATGAAAATTGTCGTTTTCTTGAACTGTTTGACTGGACAGCAAAAGGCCTAAGTATTTTAGTGGTGTATGCACACCTGAGAAATTTTACCTCATGAGCAGCAAACAATTCAAATTGCTTAAGACTGCCTGTTTATTATTTGAAGCATAGTAAATAGCATTCAGCTTTATTGTTTTGACCCTGTAGTACACAACTTTCCTTTCTGGCTCTTGGGCAATACTGACTAGAGAATTCTTTCCTGAAATGTTGTGTTCAACTGCTTCTTTGCAGGTAGACAAGTGTTTCTTTAACACCAGTTTATTGTATCTGTTGTACATGTACTGTACTTGTTAAACCTGCCTGTAGTGTTTTAAAGAGTTTTTGAAAAGTATAATGCCAAATAATGCAAAGCAGATGTGGAAGTCTACAGTAGAAGACATTGATTCGATGCTGTTAGCTTCTTTCTAGATAATTAAAAAAAATAGAAAAAAAGAGACCTGTTTATTGGATGAGTACCTGTAAATTCCTGCATAAATCAGTTTTTTTCTAGGTAAATTATTCTTTGTTGACTTAGTTGCCAATGGAGATATTTTTTTTTTTTTAAAGTGCCTTTCACATCTTACTCTCCAGTTTTTTGGCCATTGGTATTTAAGATTTGATAGATAACTCCTACTGTATGTTAATGTCCCATAGTATCATTTTCTGCCTTTTTATCTATTAGGAGCAGAAAACTTAAACAAATGTTGTTAACCCCATCTCTCTTTTCTCATATAAGAGCTCCAAACGAGAATGGAAACCTTTGGAGGACCACAGCTGTACAGATGTACCATGGCTGCTCTTGTTCATCCTCTTCTGCGTAGGGATGGTGAGTAAAACTTATGGGTTTTACGACTGTTACACAGTTGAAGAGTTTGCATTATTTGAGGAAAGTTCTAGACTCAGTGACTTAATGAGTAAGGTCAGAATATACTGACATTTGAATTATCAGCTGTAGAACAGAGTTGAGTACTATACACAGTCTGAAGACCTTTGATAGGATTCAGAATTAATTTTTTTTGTGCCAGCTTCTGCTCCAGCTTACTTCCTAAAACTCCAGTTCTTATACTGCTGTGACTTCTTGGTATCTTGTGTTGTTTCATGAACCTGTGTATTCTTTTTTTTTTTTCTTTTCCTAGACACAGAATATCTGTCAACATTCTGTATAGCTGTGCTGTGTGCCATAGCCCTGAGGAGTATGGATTTTCTAAAAGCTATCAGCTTTCTTTTCTGCAGTTCCTTAATCTCTAGTCTTTGAAATTCTTAATCCACCAAAATAATTCCTTTTGTTTTCCCATAGTGTTAGTCATTGAGTGCACTTGAAATGCAAAGATGACAGTATTTTCATTAAATAATATAAGATACATATATCTTAAGATATGGATATCTTAAAAGCTTTGAAAGCATTCTATTTCATGAGACAAACAGCTTTAGTTGTGGTTGTTTTTCTCCTACCTGTGGTGTTGATGATCTGTGGTTACTCATTCTGTACCCACCTGCTCCACCAATCATGAATTAATTTGCTATAGGTTAGAGTCCGAGATTGTCTTGTCTGAGGAATACAATACACAGAGCAATTACCCCGTTGTTCATATATCCTTTTAGTTGGTGTTCTATGGGAGAGTTCAACTGAGCAGTCAAGTACCAAGATGGGCTGAAATGTCATCCTTGCACTGTCTTCATTTAGATCAAATGGGGAGGAATTACATGATTTCTTTTAATTGTGTTTAGGGAAAAATTTTTGAACCATCCAAGAAGCTGAGTACTGTGGGATGTAAGATGCATGATCTTAAGGCCTTCATGTAATGTAAAGAGATCCTGTAAACTGAGTCAGTGCTGGAAATCAGCTTTAATTTTTACTTGTGATAATAGCCCTTTCCCGACTTTGACCTTGTTCTCACTTTGAGTATTAAATCTGTAAGTGCATTAGTGCATTGGAAAGAGGAGGACAATGAACAGCTTGCTGTCTGAAGTTTCTCTACAGTGATAGCCTGTCCATTATAGAGGACCTCTGTCTTGCATCTTCAGACCTTTAAACCCACTCGCATTTAAGTATTCAGAGCCAACTTTGTTACCTGTCATCGTCATCTCATGTGATCCTGCTGCTCCATGCGTTTGTGTCAACTGATTTCTCATGTCATAGTTTGCCTCATCATTAATGATAGTGGGGCAAGCATGTGGTTTGCTTCTCCCTGCCAAAGGCATAGCTAGAAAGCTGGTGACGTTTTTCAAAACAGTATCATGTTCACATCATTGCTGGCTTGATGCTAGTTTTGCTAGTGTGAGAGCTCTGAAAATGCACAGCAAGGTCTGCCTGACATTGTTTGCCATTTTGCCCTGTGAGTCATTTTGCATTCTCTTGCACTGTATCTCTTTTTTTTTATTATTTTTCCAGATTTGCACCTAATGTGTGGAGCAGTTGTGGCTTTCACCTGGCCACTTCTTTTGCTTTAGAGCAAAAATATTTCTTAAAAATGAACTTATGTCATATAGGCCTCTTCACTTCAGCTTATCATTGAAAGCACTTAATTTGAAGGAAGAACAAACCATAATGCAAGAAAAGCAAGACTGTCTGAAGTCCTGTAAAATGCACTCTCAATAGTGGTAGCTCTCTTTTGTAGCTCTCTTTCACTGTGTGCCTTTGTTCTCTCTTCTGCTTCATGCACCACTTGATGAGGATATTATGACTCTCAAAAAGGAACACCTATGAGATTCTTAATTCTGCTTGGATTAATGTGCAGTGCTAGATATGAGCCCTCTTTTGGCCTTGCATTTTGTTTTATAATTGCACAGCAGTTCACTGTGGATTGTCCTTGTCTTTCCTTCTTTGACCTGAAAGAATTTTTAAAGAAACTTTGCTTAGAAACAAATGAATTAAACTAAATTTTCCCAGCTGTCCTACAGAATATTTCCATTGTGGATTTTTTTATTTTTTTTTTTCCCACAGGGCTTTATCTGTGGCTTTACAATAGCTACAGGAGCAGCTGCAAGACTGCTTTCAGGATATGACAGTTATGGAAATATCTGTGGACAGAAAAATGTCAAGGTGGAGGGAATAGCCAACAGTGGTCTGGACCTCACACAGAAGAAGTGAGTATGTGATTCAATTGTTCTATTCTGTAAACCAAAAAAACCAAGATTTCATCCTTTCATCCTTTGAAAGTGGTTTTCAATGGAATTGGAAAATGAATATTCTAATTCTTTTCTTCTGATCGCTCTCCAGTCTTCACATCTGTGGAACCACAACCTTCCATAACACAGAAGTACTTTAAAAAGTGTGTGTTGATGAAAGTGTAACATGAATGCAGTTAAGTCATTGAAAAATTTCTTATTCTTGGCATCCACATGGGATGTGGGGGTATCTATCAGATCAGAGGGTCATCTTTGTTTTGGTTTTAGGTATGACAGATGCTTAGAAATTTGAGGTCAGGCCTTTGTTATCTGTGCAGAAGTGATAGGGCTTTTGTGATTGGTTTCTGCCTTTGAGTTTAGGGGAACTGGAAAATGTCCAGCACATTAAAATAGGACTTCAAAACTTTAAACTTTAGATGGTATGCAGCATATATAAAAGGGGCATGTGGAGAAAATATGCAAGAGCAGTGCAGAATTATTATTGAGCAGTGTCATGAGGAAAATACACAGAGATCAGAATCAGCAAAGTTGGGTTCTATCTATCATGAGGAAAATAATAATACTTCAGTATTAGTTCAGGAGCTAATTAATGGTAATTCTGGGGTGAAGACTTGGAAACCTGTTGAGTGAATGTCTGTTGAGATCTTCCTTCCTGTCGGTGTTCAGAATGCATATGTACAGTTTGGGTAATTTCAGATAGTAAGCTATTTAGACTAGCACTGGAACTCAGGTATTAACTGACCAAAAACAAAGTCTCTTTCAAAATTTGATCATGTTAGAAGAGTTAAAAAATCTTCAATTTCTGACAGTGATGTGATTTTACTTCATGCTTTTACTTTCAAACTAATGGAAAGTCATTAATTTGTGGGTGTTATTTTAGGAGGATGCTTTTCTAATGTATGTTGTCGTTGTAATAAAGATTTCCAAACATCTAATTTAAAATTTAATGTTGCCAGGTATCTGTTGTGTCATTGGAAGAAATTAAATAAATAGTCTGAAAACTTCTACAGATTTTTTTCTGTCAGGAGATCTTTTCTTAAACTGATAGGAACTTCTAGGAGAGTTGAAAAGCTTAAAACTTACCCAGCATAATTTTCCTATTTACTATGTCAGTATTTCAGTGCTTTTTAAAGTCAGATGTGTGTTGTACAGAAGTGTCATTCTTGTGTTATTAGAGAAAATAATTCAAGTGCTGTTCCTTCAAGTACAAAATGATATAAATATGCTGTTATATGAGAAGAGTTAAGGTGGCATTTCACCTTAATAAGTAAATAATATTAAATATTAATATTTTAAACTTCCATCCCTTGATAAAGAGATGGTGTCTGTCTTGGTGTAGGAAGGTGGAAAAACACAGGCACATGACTGAAATATATAATAGTGTAATAAATTCCAGAGAATCCATTTGACAGAGATCATCATGAGGAGAAACATCTGCAACTGTGAAATGAATTCATCTTGTACAGACATGATGGAAAGATTACTAATAGAAATAGAGAATATTTTAAATGCAGTTAACATACAGTGTTTTTTATGTGTCAAGCCAAAGACTTTGTACAGTTCAGAAGGATCACATTTTTCTGAAAAAGGTATTGCAGCTTCAGAAATGGCTTAAGTGAATGATTGGGTACACTTACATGGGATGGGATCATTTCTGTTTGGTAAGAGTGAGAAAAGGCCTTCTTTCTAGTAGGACAAATTATTCTCCAGCTATTCTGGTGTTGTCAAAGGTACCCTGATTTGCTAGAAACCAGTTCTTTTGTAGGCACGTGATACTTCGCATTCTCATACTCCATGACTTTTTAATTTTTTGGGGCAGTTTTTCAGAAGAAACAACCTACTTTTGTAGAACAATAGAATGGCTTTGTTTGGAAGGGACCTGAAGGATCATCAAGTTCCAACCGCTGTACCTCAGGCAGGATCACCAACCTCCATATCTAATGCTAGACCAAGCTACCCAGCGCCCCATGCAACCTAGCCTTGAACACCTCTAGGGATAGGATATCTGACAGATACTTTGCATCTGTCTCTAGCAGATGTAGCTCCTGCAGTGTCTGAGGACAGGTCATGGGAATATTTCATGCTTTTTTTTTTTTCTAGGAGTACTTTCCAGACATATGTAGAAATCATGTTGTCTTATTCCTATTTAATATTTCAGTTTGTATAGAGAAGGGAAGGGCTTTCAGCTCTGTGATTCTGGAATAGTTAAGTTATTCTCATTTCGTTCTGCTGGCAGAGTAATTGTGTCTTCATTTCCCAGTCCAAGGCAGAAGAGCTAAATCGTCTCTAAAAACAACATTTTCTTTCTTGTAAATGACAGTAAACCTTACAGACAGTAATGAAGAAGTGAAGAGTGATCTGCATGAACATGAAAATCTGGTAGTAAGGATAAGGATCTCACTGTGATGTGATCATATAGATGCAAAACAGTTAACTGAAATCAGTGAAGTGGAATTGGGGAAGGAGTTTTCTACAACTTGATCTTGTCAACAAAGAGTGAATCGGATGTCTTTGTATTCTATGAAGGAAAAACAGCTTTAATAGACTGTAATTTTGGAGTAAGACGTAGAATTATAGTCCAGCACTGGATTCTCAGTAAACCTCTCCACTTTAAATTAGTTTAGTTAATTCAAGTTTTGGCAGTTACGATAGGGATAAAAATGGCTTTTTATTCAGAAAGCATAGTTGATTCCTATTGTTGTTGTTTAGGTTTCTGAAATGCTAGCCAGTGGTATTTTTTGATCAGCAATATTATGCAGAATTGAGTTATTGCTCTTCCTTCAAGTACAAAATGATATAAATATGCTGTTACACAGAAGAGTTAAGGTGGCATTTCACCTTAAATAAATGCCTTTGACTCATGAAAAGTGTTGATGTTTAGCTCATAACAAAAGCCAGGTGGAGTTTTAAGCGTGCATGCAGAAAACTTTATTTAGTAAAATTAGATGCCCTATACATCATTTATTTTGATTGTGATAGTTTAATTAAGTTCTCCATTATGTTGGTAAGATGCTTACAAATAACAGTAAATGATTGTTCTGTAAAGTGCTCATTTGCCTGTATAGAGATGCCTTGAGGATGTCAATGACACTGGCAAATAAAAGAATGTATGAAGTACTTGAAGGTAATATAAGCTTATTGACGTAATTTGCCACTGTGCTTAAAATGTACTGTTCATGCTTCCAGAATCGAGATGTGTTGTATAAAAGGATGATGCTTTGACTTCCTGTTTTTACATGGGAAGAGGAGATCACTGCATTTCTCATGGTCATGAATAGGTCACTTGTCAAGAGCCAGAGCCATTGATGCTCTGTTTCTAATCTCAGATCATTTCTGAAATTACATTACTTCCTTTTACCTTTAGGAAAAAAAGGAACATATCAAAATAGAAACTCCAAACAATAAGGAAGATTATCCTATATACCTGTAGTTTTTTAAAAAATTATTTTATATATTCTTTCATTATATATGTATAAGTTTGATACAATTTTAACTTATTCTGAAGTTCAGTTTGAACGTTCTTCCTCAGGATGAACAACTTTGATATTGATCTTACTTTCAGATACTGTGACTTCTGAAAATTGACGTAGTCTCGTGCCATCTTTGTCTATGTGTATAAGAATCCATTTAAAATGAGACATGAACTCAACATTTTTAGTTTTTATTATACCTATGGAATGTAGACATATTAAAAACTTAATGCATTTATTTTTACCTGAAGTAATTTTTTTCACTGTACTGAATTTCAGAGACAAGTGTTGTTTTCCAAAAAAAGTGGGTTGCTGAGATATTACATAAGAATTATTAGGCTGTGAGTTTGACATACTGAATTTCCTAAGGCAAGCAAACTTTCACTTGCAGCATGGAAGCTGCAAGTCTTTGTATTGCTGATCTAAGTTACGGTCTTACCAACGAACTGGTCTATTTTTGATTCTGAAGAACTGAAAGTGCAGTACAAGACATGAGCAAAACCTGTTCATTGGTGACATGGTATAGAATTTTCTACAATAAAATTAGTTGTTTTCAATAAATTGTAGCTCAAAAGTCAAACCACTTTCCTCTATCATGCTGTTGTTTGATATTTCATGTTTTAGCTGTTTGAAATAGAAAAATGTGATTCGTAGAGCATGGATGGAAGTCACTGATTTCGTAGCTTGGAATTTGATTTGCAGCTGCCTTATTTCTGTTAGAGTCATCTCTGAACTGTACAGTGTAGTATTTGAACTACATGTGTCCATTTAAACATACTTCTGTCCAAACTGTGTATGGCACTATATTTGCGTTGTATTTCTGAGTTGCCTGTCCTGACTTGAAACTGTAGTATTTATTTTAGAAAACACTAATTTTTTCCAGATGTTAAGATTATAGATTAGTCCTTGAGTTCATTTGAAGAATGTTGGGCTGTCTTCCAGTCTGAGTACCAGCAATGCTGAAGTGGTTTTCCTTTGCTTGTCCCAGCAGTACATGTTTAAGGATGCTGGGAGTACCCTCCTGCACAACCATTGGAGCCCAGCCTAGGGATTTGGGGTGTCCCAGGCTGAGGGACACAGCTGGACGAACACTGCAGAATGCTGACAGGACACACAGCACACAGGCACAGCACAGTCCCCTCCTGCCCTGGGACTGGCAGAGCCAGCAGGCCCTGGTGCAGGCTCACACAAGAGATCCGCAGGCCATCATCGTGGCTGTGCCAGTCACCTCAGGGCTGCTGGCACCACATCTACGTGTACTGGTCCCCTGGTAGCTCTTACCTGGCAGCATTGCGTGGAGCAACATCATGCAGAGATGATGAACCAAGGGTTTAGTAAGAAAATTGGATAGGCTGTGGTAGTCAGCTGCAGGATTCCTTCTGACTAGCCTTAGCATACACACAGCCAACTCCTTTTACGCGTTTTTATGTATTTTCCCCTTTGTTCCCATCCCTGTTGTCACCTCAGCTGGCATAGATCCACTGACCTTCTCCAGTGTCCTGGACCTTTAGGTTTGTATCTGTATCAGTTGCAAAGTCTCTGTTTGCCTGCTACTACTTGATAGCCCATCAGTTGCTGTAGTTCACTAATGGTGCATGTTTTACGTTTGTCTCCCTCCTTTATCAGAATTTGACAGTAGTGAGATGACCAGGTTTGTGATCATCACTGCCTCCCTCATCATTTGTTGTTCAGATTTGAGTCTTAGATGTTCTTGTTAATGGCTGCTTCAACTTAATATGCCCTTAAACAATGCCCAAATCCCCCTCCTTACGGGAGGGAACAGCATCTTCAGGGACTTGCTTTCGTGAAGAAGAAGTGGTGACAAGACTATCCAATTAACATGCTACTGTCTATCTCAGTATCAATTCAAAGATGTTTATAGAATGTTTATGAAGTAAGGACAAAGAAAAGAATGCATATGATGTATTACCATATTACACTTTACTTAGATAACATGGATTTCAAGTTTCAAGAAATGAGTCAAAGTCTTGAAGCTAAGGGCTGAGAAACTGCAGAGAGTAGTAGTAACTCATACACTGGAATTGGATAATAGGTAACTTTTACTGGGAAGGAAGATTAGTTGGGAATTTGCACATAAAAAATGTTGAAACGGAATGTAAACATTAACCTTTACGAGCATGGCCTACTGATAGAATGTATTTGTTTTTACGTTTTCTAGTATCTGTGCTGTGTTTTTTGAAGCAGGTTAGTTCCAATTATATAAGAAAGATGTATGGTTTGACATTTCATCATGGTTTGTGAGATTTGTTAAGAATTATGTCACTTTCAAAGTATTATCTCTAAAGTATGTAGTGTCAAACATATTGGACATTACGTTTTGTTCTAACTCTTTCTGACGTAGCAGTATCAAGTATCCAAATGAAACATTAATGTATTTATTTCTGTTAATGTGCTTCTAAAGAAGTCTTATGTGCACTATATATTTTAAGATGTACTTAAACTCTATGTAACTGTAAAGTAGCTTGGAAAAGTTTTCTGAGGTTAGAAGGAATTTTTATAGATTATGGGATGAATTTCTGACTGCAGAAAAAAGTCATTTAATATCGCTTGCTTTTTTTTTTTTTATCATTGTTATGTTAGATAATATGAAGAGAGTATTTGAATTCATGACATGTTACCAGAGTTATGGGAGTTTGAAATGCTTGTTCAGCTTCTGGGAGAAGAAAAAGAGATAATCTGACTTCATTATACCACAAATGGGCAATACTGTAGGGTTAGTCTTTGTGATGAAGTATGCATAGCTAGGAGATAAAGTTGGCTAGGGAGCTATAGTATGTACTTCACAAGCAGCTTGTTTGTTTGTTTTTAGTGGCAGTGGCCATCATGGAAAGTTGTGAGATAGAATCTCTTTAAAATGCTGCCCTTGAGCTCTAGCCACTTGATCTACATGAATGTGAATTTTAATTTAAAATAAATACTAATATGATATGCTCGACTTCATGGGCTGGTGCTGTAGAAAATCAGTCTAAACCAAAAAACTGTTTGGAATTTTTCATATTCTGTGTGTTCATTAACAACAGATGGTCATTTTTTGTAGGATAAGTATAGCCTTATGTGATTTGTTGTGTATCTTTTGAAAACCTGGAAATACTGAGGTTTTTGGTTTTTTTTTTTTTTTGAAAGAAGCTCTATCTTTCAATTGAAAGACAGATATCTGTGAAGAGGTGTGATAGAAGTGCTAGTCTGTATATTTGTAAACATAGATTTGAATAGATTTGCATCTGATAGTTTAATATCCCTGCTGTATGATCCAAAAAATAAAAAAATCAGTAAAAATACTGATGTATTTGTGGTGCATATATTGAGTATATGAATTCCTTTTAATCATACAATTGTATTTAATGTAAAATTTTACACATTTCCTGGTAGATTTAAAGTTAGTCTTGAATGAATCTTGTAGTTTGAGATTAATTTTCTTCAATGTAATTGTTGATTAAAATAGAAGTAACTTGCATTTTTTCCTCCTTAGGTATGTATTCTTCTTGGACCCATGCAATATTGATCTGGTACACCAGAAGATCAAATCTCTTGCTTTGTGTGTGTCAGCTTGCCCAAGGAAAGAACTAAAAACTTTGGCTGATGTTCAGAAATTTGCAGAAACTAATGGTATGAAAAAAGCATATCTATTCATGTACCAATTTTGTAAGATTGTAGAAAGACTTGTGCATTATCTGAAAAATGAAATCTCCACTAAGAAATAGTGTTGAACTCGTAACGTTTCCCTTAAAGCTTACAATGTTAGTATGGTTGTGTTCATGTCTTGGACAGTTTTGAAGGCTCATTCTTAAAACAGGAGCAGAAAGTATAATGAGGATGTCTAACACTGAGCATGTTCCAGCTCTTACAGAAGTGTTCTGATATTGCTGTTCACTGACTGTTGAAATACCTTCAAGAGGCCTGTGACCTCTTTGCATTTCTGCTGTCAGACTGCACATGAAGCATGTCTGTGGTTGTGGGAAATTGTCCTGTTTTTATTCAGTGCCACAGGGCAATACCTTTTTGCTTTGGGATTGTTTTTTTGTTTCTTTTTTTGCTTTTTTAAAAACTATAAAAAAATGAACACTATAAAAAAAATAACAGGGAGAACAACTTTATTGCCATATAAAATACTGTACTCCATCCCCAAAAGCAGTACTTTTTTTCTGTAGTAATGATACTAACATTTTTGTATTTTAACACTATGCATAATAAAATGCATGAGAGATAATAAATTTTTGGACCATACAAAACAAAGTAAAGGTAAAAACTTGAAAATAATTTGAGGAAATTGTCAAGTTCTTCCACTATTAAAGTGGAGAATTTTGTTCTAGACTTCACACCTGTTATTTTATAATGCTATGATGAGATGTCTTCATGACTCAGCTAATGATGAGTCTGTCTGGTTGACCAAGTTCAAAGCAGTGAACTTGACTGCTTTTCACAGACAGAAATGACGTGTTGTTCTCTGTTCTACTACTGGTACTATGAGCACTTGTTTTTGTTTTGTTTTTTTGAAAACAAAACAAGTTCAAGTGGCCCTAGAACACTATTAGCACTCTCAGGTCTTCCCAGTGAATTGTCTGCATATCTTGGTATCTGACAGGTGAATCACAGAGCTTAATATAGTGTGGAATTAAAGCATGTTACTTGAAAGTCTGTGTGCAAACAGCTGTCTCAGCACCATGCAGGGGATAGTCTGGGAGTGATAACTTCCTCATGTAATTTGTTTACTGTTGTCAATTTAAGCCCACAATGAAAGTTAGTATTACTGTAGTATGGTTTTGCTCTTCACCTCTAAATGTGGCTGAGTCTCTCTTACTTAGTGCAGACTCAGTATATTTTTGTGTGGAGTTTAAGTACGTCTTGAAGTAAAAAGCAGCCTGTGTTACCTGTAATACTGTGTAACCACAAATACTGTTTCTGTGTTTCTATGTGAAGTTTTATATAAACTACGCCTGAAATATTTTCAGCATAATCATTTTTTAAAGTATAGCAAAAGTTGCTCTTCCTAAAAACTATGTGTCTTGTCTTAGTGATTCTAAGTGTATCTCCCTTAGCATTTTTAGGTTTTAAACAAAACTCAGTTTTTCATTAATTAGTATCAGAGCCAGTTGTTTCAGCTTAGAGAAGCTTGGCCAAAAGTGTGAAATATGTTGTTAAAGCAAAATAGAAGCCCCAGTTTCCATTATATGATTTTGGGCTTTTCAAGACAACCAAAAAAAAAGAGTACTGAACTAAGTCAGGCTTTCTTTCTTTAAGTGTATGCTGTACAAAACTGGAATCACACAGTTCTGTGGAACTTATTTTCATGGCTTTAGTTCTGATTTAAATGTTCACCACTCAGGGCAGGTTCCAAAAAGTTTATTTTGTAGCAAATAAATAGCCTACCTGTTGAGCACCATAAATGTTATGGCAACACAGTTTGCGGATAGATAGTAAAATTGAAAGCATTATTCAATCCTGCAATAGCAAAAGAACATTGAATTAATATAAAAATTACAGGATTCGTTAATCAGGATCTTTTCTCTGAGAGCTGCTTTATAGCTTTAAGAAAAGGTTTAAGCTACATAAAACTATTAAACTCTTGCAGGCTATTTCAAGTGACAATAAACCCTATAAAAAGAACGATGAGGAAATCTGAGAAATTTGAACATGACTGCACACAGTTTAGTTGCAGTTTCTATTCTAGTGATGTTATCAAGTTAAGTTTGAAGAAGGAAGGCAAGAGATTTGTTTGGTTTACTGTGACAGTCAGTGGAGTTTTCCATGCTAACAATTTCTAACGCCTGTCAAAAAAAAAAAAAGCCTCAATATTTGAAAATGCATGGGCGTAGAATGCAATAACACCTTAATTTTGATCTGCTGAACCTTTCTAAAAGCTTTAACTCTTCTACAGCTTGAAGATTATAGTGATGCTGAAGATAGGCTTTGTGTGGGTTGCTGCACGTAATTTGAAGAACTAGCCATTTTCATCTGGCTCAGATGTCCTTCCTGAAGTCACCTTACCTGTCTCTACACCTTGCAATTTCTTCTTAAATTACTGCTTAAGAGTCGTTCTATTCAAAAGAAGTTTTCTGTTGTGCCTCAGCCCATCAAAAGTTGGCACAGTAAATTCAGATGAAGAATTTTACCTGAACGTCTTTATGAGAAGCTGTAATACATCCTGCAACATACTGATTTTATTATTTTATTGACATTAAGATATGATCCTTCAAATAGTTTAGCATTTATGGTTTCTTTCCTAAAATGGGGCAGGTACTTAACTGCTTACACACAGTGTGATAGAACTGCTACCCCAGAACTCAAAGCTTTTAGGGAGGAATTCTTTGTTATAGTGCAGTACAGCATGTGTTTGTAAGCAGTACAGCATGTGTTTGTAAAGTTATGAATAGGCATTTAAGGCAGATTCTTAATTCTTGCTTGAGGCATGAAGAGCATTTCATTGTGAAGCAGCCTTTTGGCTTCCTGAATCAATGATGATGCACTTGCTATTCGGCTGTAATTTGGGAAAAAGAGATGATTTAGTGAATAGTGCTGCACCATTTCAGTTTAGTAACTTCTCTACCCTACTTGGTTTCTCACTACAAGGTCCTGCATTAGCAGTGCCATTGCATCTAAGAAAAAGAGAACTCTGTTCTTCAGAAAGCCAGGCTGAGATTCAAGAAACAAGAAAGTGTGTGCCTTCAGTCTGTTGAGAGTGGCTGATGGACAGAATACTTGTAATTGGTTGGGACCTCTTAGAAGTGGCAAAACAAGGAAGGAGAATGCTGGGCAGTTGGCTGAGATCTTCACCCTGTACAAAGATGCAAGCTGAAAATCTTATATGTGTTTTGAAATGACTCCTGAAGCTGATGCAGCATTTAGAGGGAATGTTTTCTACTTCTGCTCTCACCCAGACAAACTAATAGTTGACTTTATGGAGCTAATGGATTTTGTACAGCAAAGAAATTTTGTAATGTGAACTGATTATTGGCTGATCTCTCCAGGACTTTGTCACCCAGCAGAACATTTCAGGCAGGGATTCGATGTTTTTGTTTGGTCTTCGCACTTAAAAAAAAAAACACCAAAAAACAAAAAAACCTGTACATGTTGTGTATTGTTTCTTTTTTTTTACAGAAAGCCGATTGGTGCATGACATGTAGGAAACATTACAGTGGCCTTTTCAAGGCCTTGCCAAAGCATTTCTTAACATCCCTGAAGATGTAATTAATTTATAATTGTGAGAAATGAGCTATGTGGTGTCAGTATTAAAACAAACAAACAAACGAAAAAATAAACAGCACTAAGCAGCTGGCCAGAATGTCTGACATGTTTAATTAAATATTATTTGTAATAACTAGTCTTTATGAGAGCTGGCATTCATATATGTTTTGTAAATAACTACATGCAGATTTAGGAGCCTGAAATTACTTCTGTTCTAATATGTGTTGTCAGACATCTCCATAAGGAGAATTCTGTATTTAGACCAGGCAAGTTGGGGTTCAGGTAGACTTCAGAGTTTGAGATGAAGGTACATTAAGTCTGCTACTGTAACTGACCTGAAGTAAGTCAGTAAAGGAAATCAAGCTGCCTGGACCAGAGGAGGGCATCTGTCTGAGCTCTAGGGGAAATCTTTTTTTTTTTTTGTCTGAAGATAATAATTTTTTTACACATAGTAATCAAAGTAAACCCTTACAGTGTGCTGATAGTATTTGCCATAGAAATACCTTAGAAATAGTAGTTATATCACTGCCAGATTCTGACATTTTTTCTTCTGTTTCTGTTCTGTCTGCTACCATTTTTTTCTCCTTTCCCTCAATAGAAGCGTCTTGTTTGAAACTCAATTCTTAATTGAATCTTGCTACTGCCATGTAATTGTTTACAATTACATGAAAAAATATGATGTCAGTGATAGTGGAACAAAATATCAAATGTAATGGAATACCTGCAGAATGAAGGGGTAGGAAATAATCATTGGTGTATGTTTTGTGTTTTACTACAAACAGGTTATTGCTGCGTGGGAAGGAGATTTTGGAGCTACTTAGTACAATGAAAGAATTAGGGGAAAGCACAGAATTGTCCAGAAGTGTAAGATTTATTAATTGTTAAGAGAGGAAAACAAGAACTATATTACATGTGTGAATTCTTGCTCTGTTGTCATCATAAAGATTGTGTTGTCATCCTTACTTTGTGAATGTCAGGTGATGGTACATCCCCTTGGAACACCCAGGAGTTTAGATACATTCAGTCTCCTCACTTTCCTTCCTTTGAAACTGTGTGCTCCTGAAAGACACTGAAGAATAGTTCTGAAGAATGAAACTTGCTTTATTCACTGAGAACGAATCTGTTGTATTTATCTGAGAAGTCCTGACCACAGTGCTTCATCCAATGCCATTTTGCTAATCTCAAGGCATCAGTGCTTTTCTGGTTTCTAGTATGACCCAGAAATTAGATTAATATGTTAGGTAAAATTCTGTCATCATGAGGCCTTTTACGTGTGTCCTGGAACCATTTACAGCAGAGGTGTCTACAATATATATAGGTATGTTTATGCAGACCTCTGATGCTTCCATGTTAATTACTACTTCAGACTGTATTCATATCAATAGCTGAGATGTGGAGTTCTTGTTTTCTCACTCATTTATACTTCTGATGCTAACTTGTGCATAACATAATGCTGCTTCATTCCTAAATGAAGCATTAAATATGAACTATCTGCTTCTGAAGTGTCTTTGTTACTGCCTTGTCAAGTAGGAAACTGATCCAAGCCTAAACTTTATGTATTCTTAGTGCTTGCGTTCTCAGTGCAGTTATTTCATACGGTTGACAGGATATAATCACAATTGTCAAACCTAGGAATGAAAAATCAGCACCAGTGTATTTCCTTTCATGATAGCTTGAGCCTTTTTCAACTTGGGAGGAATGAAGAGGGACTTCTGTTAGCAATGATAGTAACTTAATTTTGTATGGAAACACTGCTTGTCATCTTACCTAGTCTGTGGTTTTTGGTTTTAGGATTTACAGCAGAATTCTTCACAGGTAAATGATCCAGTGTCTTAAGCTTCCATCTTTTTTTTTTTTTTTTTTTTTTTTTTTTTTTTTTAAGGAAATGGGACGATTGCACCCATGACTGTGTTAAGGTTGGAAGGAAAGCATATCTTCTGAGACGCTTTGTTCCAATCATGGCCTCAAAATATTCTAATGCCTAGAGCAGCTCTTTTTATGGATAAGCCATGGGACAGAAACGGTGTTGCATCTCCAGAATACCACCTAGTGTATGAAAGCACCAAATAAAAATCCCTATGAGACCATAAGACTCTGGTGTATTCGTTGCTGGCTGGGCAGCTGTTAGTCCACACGGTTCAGAAGTATTTTTCTTTAAGGTTACAGCGTGTTGTGATCTCAAATTCAATCCATGTAGGACAGTTGAATGTTATTTGCCTGATTATTTCTCCAGAAGAAATATATGCAGAGAGATTAGCAAATAATTATTATATAATGATTTTTCAGTTTGTTCTCTGAATTCTACGTACAATGTTTATGAAACAATTAAGAGTGTTAGTAGTTTAGGAATAATAGTAATGTCTTTGGTAAACTAATTGTCTCAGCAAAGTAGATAACTGGAATTAATCTTTTAGCTTCTCCAGGACTCATAAACTCAAAGAGCACAATTGAGACTGGCTATGCAAAGATTAGTCTCTATAGCCCATATTAGAGGAGTCTAAAGAAGCAAGTTCCATGAACGTAAAATTGAAAGCCATAGCCCAGAGGAGCCCTGGGAGCAAGCAGTTCATAAGAATCATCATAGAATTCTAAAATGGCTTGGATTGGAAAAAAGCCTTGAAGATAATCTAGTTCCATCCTCCCTGCTGTGGGCAGAGTTGCTACCCTCTAGATCAGGCTGCCCAAGGCCCCATCCAGCCTGGCCTTGAGCCCCTCCAGGGGAGGGAAGGGGCATCCACAGTTTCTCTGGGCAGCCTATGCCAATGTCTTACTGCCCTCTGAAGGAAGGATTTCATAGAATCAGAGAGGGGTTTGCATGTCTCCTGACCAGCGTACCTGCAGAACCCCATGATATTTTTTATATCTCTTGTCAAGTTCTTGTTTTTTTTTTTTTTTTTACTGCACTTTGGCTTTCCTGATCCCATTGCTGCATGGATTTTATTTTTGTTTTCCCCAGTCTGTACATGTCTGGAATTGTTCCAACCAAGGTGCAACATCTTGCATTTGGCTTTGTTGAAACGTAATAGGTTCACGTGGTCCCACTTATCCAGCTTGTCCTTTGGATGGCATCACTTCCTTCTTCGTATCAACTGCAAGAGATGAGAGTCCCAGACTAGAGGTGATAGTGACAGCCAGAAGCATCCATTGCTCCTTTGAATGACAGGATGGGGCGTGCTCAGGAGGGTTCTGGGTTGAACTGGCAACATGTTTCCAGTTTCCTCCACAGCCAGGGACTTTCTGGCTCATCTTCATCAACAATTTCTGCTTGAATGTCTGTGTGCAGATTATGATCTGGCATTCACTATTTCTCCCGTTACGTTTTTGAGTGGGATGCAAAGAGAAGGACTTTGAAATGCGCTTCTTCTTTTGTCAGGTTCTCCTGTTCCAGGCCTATAGTGAATCCTGCTTTCTCTTTTATCAGCTGGGATCAGTAAAAGTCACAAGGAACACCACAGGCCTTCCACAGTTCACCTGTCCTCTGCGCTTACATGGTGTGGGGGCCTCTGTATATGTTACGAAAGCTGTAGCTGAACACTGGTAGCACTGAACAAGAAAACAGAGCAGACATCTCATTTTCAGTGTCTTGAATCTGTATAAAGCTTGTCCTTATACAGTCCCTCCTACTTCTTCATGAAATAATTTCTGTAAGTTAGATTTTGGTCTCTGTATAGAAAGCAGAACACAGTTAAGTATCTTCTTGTTCCTTGTGTCTGTAAGAGATGGTACATATGTGACTGCTTCCTGCAGTGTACCCCACCTCATAGCTCTCACACCTATAGCAATGTGTCCAGATCAAAAACTTCTGCAATATTATAGTGCCTTTTGTCCAAAAAGAACAATAATTACTTTTAAATACTCCTTTTATCACTGTGATGTTAAGAAGGTAAATTTGTCTCATGTCTTTCTATATAATACAGTATTATCCACAAAATCAGACAGAAGCATCAGGATGCTTACAAACGGTACAATTAAAAACAGAGTTCAGATGTTTTCCCTCTGCAAGAAATCTAACTTTCTTAATGGTGTATTTGGTGTTTTGGGTCTTCCCCCCAGAAATTGACTCTGCAGAAGCAATACTTAAGTAGTGTTCCGGAGACTGAATGGAATAGCTTCCTCAGCTGTTCTGTCTTCTGTTCCAGCCCATAGAGATGTTTTCATAGGGGTAGCAATATGCCAATGATAAACAAGATACTTACAACTTCTTCAAATAGTATGTTCACTTTCTATGAATAGTACTTATGTTTTGTATCACACAAGCCAAGAGAAGAGTGTTTCTCAAGACTCACAACTTAACTTGTGGAAAAATTAATAATGTCTATATTATTTAGATCCAGTTTGTAGAAATCCCTTCTACTAAGTATTCATGGAGAGAAGACTTTGAGAATATGAGGAATAAAATCTACCTGTGGATCACCAAGATGTCCTTAGTTGGTTATGTAGCCTTTACCATTCTTTTTTACACATACAGAATCCCTGCACTGGAGAATTAGAAAGCAAACAAGCTTGAGAAGAAGCTCACTTTGGATAAGCAGCTCATCCCCTTGCAGCCTTTCTCTCTTCCCCCTGTTTCTGAGAAACCAGTGCTCCAATCTGACTTGGCAGTTGCTCTTTTCCTGGAAACACTGGTGTCAGTGTTGAGTATGTTGATCATAGACAAATGGGAAGAGAGCTGCCTGGGTAGTATATGTCCATTAGGCACATGTTTGATATTAAGTAAAACTGAAATAATGTTTGAGTTTTGTTTTTGGCGATTTGATATTTATAATACTGTACTGACTTGTACACGTAGAATATTTAGCTTTTTTAAGAGCTTTAGAGATTTGATACAGTCAGGCATTGTAGTTGGCCAACTACATAACCTCTGCAGTTTGGTTCCTTTATTCCTTTCTCTGAAGTCTATAGATCAGTTGTATTTTAAGAACGTTTTTTTAAAGTAAACTGAATATTTATTAATGTAATAAGTGTTGTATTATGCAATATTCATACATTGAATCATCAAGAAAAAATGTGGTGGGGTAGCAGGGAAGAATGACTTTGAGGTGCATTGTGTCTTTTACATGGGATCATGAATCAGCCTTTTCCTCTTGAATTTATAAACTCTGGAAAATCCAATACTAGATGGAAAACATAATTCTGTTAAGTGAAGTATATGCTGGGCTTGATTCAGTGCTTCATTACAGGAGGAGCTGTAGCATAGCATTGCAGTAATAGCATGAGGCACTGCAGAATGGCAACCTGTATCAGTTTTGATATTGTTTGCAAAGATTAGGAATATTTAATTTTTCTCCATCAGTCATTTTTCTTTTTTTCCCCCCCTCTCAACAGGATCTACTCTGTGTAGCTATGAACTACTGCCATCAGAATATACTACAGACCCGAGGGCTGCCAAGTTGTGTCCTAAATATCCTGTTCCAGAGAGGTAATATTAACATCTTATCTGATGTGGGGGTGAAGGGAACAGAGACTTAATTTGTTTATATGATTAAGTGTTCTTTAGAAAACAAGCCTCATAAATTTCTTGTTTTACAGATGGATTTTTTTTTTTTATTATTGTTGCATGTTTTTAAAACGCATTGGGAATACAGCTTATAAAGGAAAACATGAATTATCCACGCATGCATTAGTAAGATGACTGAGCTGATATAATTCAGTTCTCTACTGTCTCATGTAACCAGTACAGTGCTGAGTATCAGCTGTTTTTCTACCTTTTACCCACAGCCAGCTGCCTTCCAGTGCTGCAGTTCAGGGAGCCATGTGTGACTATGTCATTTTCTCTCTCAAAAATCCAATATGCCTCAGAAATTATATGTCGAGTATTCACTTTTTGCACCTTACATCAACTAATCAGGTGCAGCAAGTTGCTTCATTTTTAATTCTTTCAGTTCCCAAATGACCAATGTGGGAATGCTCAAGAAATAAAAAGGGATTTTTATTTTATAAACAGATCAATTTGAGTTTTATTGTTCAAAATATTATGCTGGACTGCTTTTTGTGAAGTAGAGAGAAAGGACTCTTGCTCCAGAGACTCTGCTATTGCTAGCCGTGTTGGCTCCACTGGAAGCATTTCTGTGAAAAGAAGTGATTGTACACATTTTCATCAATAATTCTTCTCAAGAAGAATCCAGTTCTGTTTTCTCACATTTTAGCTTTTCAAGCATATCCAGTAGAGATTGTAACTGCTTACTCTTGCCCTATACATCATTTTTTGTTAAAGTTTAATAAAATGTCAGTTCTAGAAACTCTAGTTTTAAGTATCTCTTGTTGTTATGGTAGGCTGTCTGGTGAATATATATTTTAATGTATGTAGCAGCTGGAATTAATTTATTTATTTTACTTTTCCTCACAGCAAGTCAGTATTCTATGCAACTAACCAGCTGTTATAGCTGTAATACAAAAATGCAAATTTCAGTGCTGGCTTGCATACTGAAAAGCCTTGTCAGTCTTAATTTCTGTCAGATATATATTGACTTTTCTCACTGTGTGTTCCCATGCCATTCAGTCTGAATGAATGTAACTTAATAAGAAAACAGATAAGTAGAACAGTATGTCAGAACTCTAATGATACTATGTAAATTCTGTGGAAACGCTGCCTCAAGTTATTTCGGAAAAGCTATTGTGTCAGTGGTGTATTTCCCCTTTGTTATTTGGCATGAATAAAATGTACAACATATTTGAATATTTTTGAAATTGAGAAGTCTAAGCTTGATGCCCTCAGGCAGAAAAGGCCTATATTGTATATGTAATCCACTCTGTTTTTCAGATTTTTATGGTTAAATTATTTGAGAAAATTGGTGTAATTTGGAGGGGAAATGGAATCCTGTGGAGGGAGACAAATGAAAAGCCTGCACAATGTAGACTGAGACATTCTGGCTGAACTTACCAGCCCTCCTTTTCTTTGATTCAATCTGTCAGAGGTAGGAAACATCATCTAACTCCCATGGAATTGGAAGTGGAATTGGAGGTAGCTCAAGCTGTGAGGTCTGTCCCTTGATATTTGATGACTTCTCACCTTGCAGTTGAGACTCTGGTTCTCAAGGGACTCCGATCCACCACCTTCAAGGCACTATGTACCTTTAACTTAACCGTTCAGCCTAGCAGTGCAGTTAGCAATTCATGTTTCTGCTGTGACTGCCTAGAATCTCTGAGTCTCAGGGGATCACAACCTTTCTTTTTAGTTTTGGAATAGAGAACACTAGAGGAAAATCCATTCAGCTTTTTCCTCCAGTGTTTCTCTCTCAGCCAGCTCTGCGGAGCTGTACTAAGAGTCTGTTTGGTAAAGCTTATAGAAAACAAAAAGCTGGGTAACAGTGGCATTTCAACCAATCACCCTATACATAGGTGTACAATCAATGAATATGTGGATATTATAATTAAGAAATACACAAGAAAGTTAGGCTAAACAGGTTATCACACTAAAGAATGGATGGAAAGCTTGCCCTTGTCCTGGATTCGCTGAGAAGACTCCAGGAGGAGCAGTCTCCAAAGGAGATCCTTCTCCAGTGAATAGTCAGCTCTTAAATGGGATCTAGGAGAGGTGGAGCCAGGCTCCAGCCCTTCCAGTAGCACAGGAGAGTTGTCTTCACCTGTGCTGCCAGGGCTGACTCATTGCTCACCTCCAGTGATCAATCAGAGGTTCAGGCCATGATTCAGCTGTTCCCATACAATAGGTTTCTGTGGGTATAATTGTGAAAGAAGAGATTTTCTGAAATTGAATACTTGAACAGTTTGGTAGAGGTCTTAACTTCATCTGCTGGCTTGAACTGCACTTGCTTTATTCTTCATTAAGCGCATATTATTATTCTGAGAAACCTGCAATTCAATTTCAGTATGCAATATACCAAGTAATGATTGAGAAGCCATACGAGATAGTACAAGTTACAGGGAATAGATCTATTATTGCATTTTTAATTAAACAGGACACCTTGCCTTCCTTTCTCATTGAGACAGAATCACTGAAATAGTAGTAGAACTCAAAAGATGAATTCTCCGGAGTGCAGTTTATTCAGGAAAGCTTGTAGGAACCTCATTTTTTATTAATTATGATAAAGTTAGAAATTAATTATTGCATAGGAAAATAGGTAACTTAAAATAGTGTACTGAGAGTACTGTAATACGAGGAGTGTTTAAATAGGCAATACAAAGCGGTACACAAAAAACGTTTTTTCCTATTAGGGTGGATTTTGGAATGGCATTTTATTCCTGCTAGACTCCTCAAAATTGGTATTTTCTTATTCATATTGCAGAGATAATAGTTCCTTCCATACTCCCAGCTCAAAAATTGTGTATTGCTGCTGGTATTGACAATTTTTTAAATACTCCAGAATTTGTGCAAAGTTGGAGCAGTTAACAGCAAAATAAAAGTCAATTTTCAATATTTCCCAGTATTAATGCTTATAACAAACTGTAGCATGTTGCATATCCCAACTAGACTGAGAGGATGCTGTCTTTTAATAGAGCTGCCATCAATATTGGTTTAGTTTGTTTTTTAACAACAGCACAGAACTGCTCTGCTGTGCTTAACTGCCGCCTTCATCAGTAACCAACAGTAGATTATAACATGAGCACTTGCGAATGTGTTCATCTTTTCGGCACCGTGAGATTAGAACTGTGTAATGTATAATTGTCAGTCACTTCAATCATGACCCTAGAATCTATTAATTATCTAAGACTGGAAGGTAATCATAATTTTTCCTGAATTCAGTGCAGATAATTGCACTCTCATGGTTTTAGGAACGTTGTTTTTCCTTTTTTTCTCTTCAAAATAGAAAGCAGCAATGCATAGGAAGAATGTGCCTAACACAGCTGATTTGCTCACAGTGTGTTTAAGATAAAGGTTGGAATTCTAGAAAGGCTTGGGATTTATGAGTAGTTTAAGCAAATAGGAAATCATTGGTTTATGAGTCACTGCTGAAATGGGGATACTGCAAAATATTATGTGCACTGCTGCTGCAATCCCCTGAAATCTTGTAAGGAAGGAACATCACAGAAGAGGAAATAAATTTAACTATAAAAGATTGACTTAGCACAAAATATATTTCTTTTATTGGATCAATTTACAAAAAGGAGTGTATAATTAATGAAGTATACATCTGAATTGCAATTGGGAAGTTTGACACAAAGATTTGGTAGGCTACTTTGAGATATGACATCGCTTATGAGCCAGAAATGGGAAACATTTGGAAAACAAAATTATCCAATTTTCATGTGAAGATTTTTGCTCTTTTATCTTCCCCTGATACACTTGATAGCAGATCGTGCTGAGCATTCAAAAAAATACTAGCCCCAGTGTTTTGAGAGAGGATGCTTCCAAAGCAGTTAAGGAGTAATGAAGTCATAGAGACATCTTTGCATGTTTTTGCAGAGAATGTATGCATTATTTTACTGAAGTAGTGAAGCTAAACAATGTGACTGTAGCCTTTAGTAGAAGAATAAGTGTAGTATGGGGGAATACTAAAAATGTATGTATTGGTTTTGCTTGACGACAGTAAACGGCGGATGTCTTGAAGTGCAAAATGTGTCCTTTTAAGAGTAGTATTGTCATTCTGGGATTTCTTTGCTTCAAACGTGAGCAGTACTCCACTTCAACACGTGTGAGAGGCATTGTTTCAGCTGCTGGTTCATCGTGTGACGCTTGAATGAGAAATGTTTCAGTGAAATAGGAACATACATTTTGTGAGCCTTACTGTTTATGGGTGGGAGGGTAATATGCTATTGGAATGTGCGCTCCAACTTCACAGGGTTACCTGTAAGAACAACATCATTTCCCATATAATCATCCTCATTCCAGCAGCACTTGTGCATTCAACACATGGTTTCTGGTTATGATGTTATGAGGGTGGAGTGGTTGCATCTATTCACCTTTCATTTGTGTGTTGATGTGGCATTTATATTAAGTAGGAGTAATTTTTTTTCCTGATTTTTTTTTTCTTGTGTCACCAGTGCACCTATTCCATTCTTCCATCGCTGTGCTCCTGTGAACATTTCCTGCTATGCCAAGTTTGCAGAGGCCCTGATCACCTTTGTCAGTGACAGTAGTGTCTTACACAGGCTGATTAGTGGAGTTATGACCAGCAAAGAGATTATAATGGGACTTTGCTTGTTGTCACTAGGTAATTGTTTTTCTCATTATTAGCTATTTACTGCAGTAGGAGATTGTTAACACCCTCTAATCACAATATGAGAAGAAAATAACAAACAGACATGTATTATAGCATTAAGCCCTTAGAAAATGGTTCAGAATGGTACATATTTTTTGACAGCTAGATGACTCCTTCAGAAGCAATGCATGTGCATTCTTGTTTTTTTCTCCTCTTCCACTGATGGGAGATAGAAGATGTGGGACAGGTGATTAGCTAACATTAGTTTTGGTGTAGTTAACAGAGCATCTGCATTCTCCTCATTTTTATTAAAATATTCACGTTTTTCTTTTATAATATTCATCTGCCAACTGAAGTCCCTTTCCAAATAAAAAGAACAGAGAGGTGCACAATACTATCCTTCTTGTTTTGGTTTGTTTAATTTAAATTAATTGTGCAGGGATGCTCGAATTTTATGAAGGAAATGTAATTTATGTTACTCCATCCTCCTAAATAAATAAATAAATAAATAAAACTTCAGGCCTTTGAAAAACTCAGCCAAAAAGCTATAAATTCCCAGCTGTATAGAGGTACTGAATGGTTTTTCAGTTAAAATACAGGCCTTTTCTGGCTTGTAAAGTGACAAACTACACAAGAATGAAGAGCTGTGGTAACAAAATATTGTAAATTCAAGTGTAATGCTAGTCACTCACATAAATTACTTTCCTAATGAGTATACTCCTAAGTCTTTTTTCTGAGTATACCAGATACAGTAAATGTGAAATGGAAAGCACCAGACACTAGTCATGCATATGAGCAGTATGAGGTTAAAATAAAAGGCTGCAAAGCTGTAACTGAAAAACAAGTCTTTCTGTTTTAATCTGCCTTTGTAGTTACAGCAAATAAATAAATAAAAAGAAGAGGCTAGTTACCACTCAACAGAAACAGAAGATGATTGACTATCTTTTCAGCTCTCAGACAGCTGATTATTGTTTTACCTTGTAATGATAAAATAACTATCCAGAATATTCTGAAAGTTAGTGGCTGAATTATTAGTGTTATTTTGGGTTAAGAGGCGGAAGTTTGTACAGTGTTTCACATACAGTTAGTTTTAACTTGAAAGAGAAAACTGTGTGATAATTTCCACTTTTTTAATATTTTCATAGTTAATTTACTTTTAAATAATTGGTTAGATAGTGTGATTCTCTAAGCCTGTTTTTAGTAGCTTATTATTGTGTACAAATAGGTATGTGGAAATGTCCACTACTCCCTAAATTATAGATGGCTGACACTGAAGATGTCTTTTTAATATGTAGTTCCTGAATGACAGTGGAACTGTATGAGCAGAGCTTGTTAAATAACTCATTTTGAATGCTGAAAATAAGCACAAAGTTGTGTTCTTGAGGAGGCGTGCTCATGTTACTAGACTCGAGTACTAACATGTCTTGCTGTCTGTTATGTCATTGTCTAAATACATCTGTCTATACGTACGCATTATGTTTTGTATGTAGTGTACCATGTACATGTACTTATGCTCTCTTTTGTTTTAATCAGCAGCACCAAAGCAGGAGATGTAGAGGTGCCTGATTTCCTTAACTATCTGTGCAGTGAGTCTGTAAGATGCAGAAAATAAATCTGCCTAAAAATTATTTTGAAGGCAGTCTGATCTTAGTGCAGAGGAAGAATTAGAAACGCTATTCCTACTTGAAATAATTGCTCTGCTTATCTCATTCATCTTTTTTTCTTTATTTTTTTTTCCAGTGTTGTCCATGATTTTGATGGTTATAATTAGGTACATTTCAAGAGTGCTTGTCTGGATTTTAACAATTCTTGTCATTCTGGGATCACTTGGTAAGTTGCGTTCATCTCTAAGTTTTTAGGTGCCCTGTTCTTTTATTTGTTTTCTATGTCTACAGACTAGCAAAATGCTGCTTTTATTTTGGAGCTATTCCTTTTTGTTCAGCTTTCATTTGACCTCCTTGTAATTGCAGTACACTCTCAGATAGTATGTTGCTCCATAGGGATTTTCTGCACTTCTTGCTTGGCAAGCAAGCTTCTTTTCAGCCTCACTCGTGCAGTCCTAACCGCTGCCTTTTGCTTAACTTTGCAATCATATCAGCAAGCTGATCTGGATATGTTGATAGCATACCAACCCATTGGGTGTACTCAGGCTTTTGGGAATCAAAGGGCAGATGTTGTTTATGTGGCCTCAAGGTATCTCAGGACATAGATTTGTCCATATCACCGTGACACATTGATGATATCCTTCAGTCCTCCTGCGGGCTATTTTAGGCCTGTCCTTAAAGAGAGGAAGCAAGGATGGTTTTCTGTAATTTCTAATCAAATCCTATTTCCACTGACCTAGGAAGTCCTGCGTGACCTAGGTAATGTATGAAGTAGAACCAGCCATGACATCTTGAGCATAACCAAAGATTGTCCTATACAGAATGATTCTTAGTCTGCATTATCTTCTATGAAGGTTATATTCTATATCTGTAGTAGCAACAGATGTGTGATGTATAGACAGATGAATATAAGGGAGAAACAAGAAAAAAGCCACTGAATTAGAAAGTACTAGCAATGTGATTTTCAATTTGTATTAGCAAGGGATTGGAAAAGAAAAAAAAAAAAAAGCAGACCATCGCTTTTTTTTTCTGCTTACTGATCCCAATGTCTGTGACCACAGAAGAGAGAAAAAAATACATATATATTTTCTTCGTAAGCTTTTTTATGTATTTTCTTTACTTTAAAGTAAAAATTAATAAGAAACTCTATCTTTGAAGACAGCAAAAATAAAGCATTTAGTAAACATAGAGTTTAAAAACTGTCTTTAGGAGAATGTAAGAATACCTATGTAGTAATTAAAACTGACAGTGGTTTGCCCAGCAGGATGTGATCATTAAAGCCAGTGGGTATAAGCTTTTGGGATTTCAGCAAAACTGTCAATACTGTTTCTCAGGGAGTTCTTCTAGACAAAATATCCAGCTTGACAAAAAGATAATACAGTGAATGAACTGACTGGCTGACAGGTTCCACTGAGAATGTTGCAGTAAATGTAAGGTAGGGTAGGTAGGGTTCCACAGGGCTCAGAGTTCCTGTAGTGTTTTTTTTAAATGTCCTGGATTCAGGATTCAAGTGCATACAGGATTCAAGTGCATACTAAGTAATACAGATGACACCAAATTGAGAGGAGCTGTGGAATTCCTCAAATGTAGGGAGGCCTTGCAGAGAGATCTGGACAGGTTGGTGGGCTGGCCAGTCAGCAACTGCATGAAGTTCAACAAGAGCAAGTGCTGGATTCTTCACTTGAGGTGGGGCAGCCCTGGTTATATGTACAAGTTGAGAACAAGAGGCATAGAGCAGCCCCGGTGGAAAGGGATTGCAGGGTTCTGTCTGACAGCAAGCTGAACATGAGACAACATTGTGCTGTGGAGCCCAAAGGGCGAACAGTACCTCAGGGTGCAGCAGGCCCAGTGCTGCCACTGGGTGAAGAGAGCAGCTGCCCCCTCTGCTCTGTGCTGTGCGGCCTCACCTACAGGTGCAGGTTGGATGCTGCAGTACAAGGACATAAAGCTATTAGCATCCGAAGGAGAGCTGTGAGGAAGGGCTATGTGTGGAGGGCAGGTGCTCAGTGCAGAGCAGAGGAGCTGAGGGCAGCCCTCAATGGCGGCTGCAGCTCCTCACAAGGAGCGAGGGGCAGCGCTGAGCTCTGCTCTGTGTGACAGTGACAGGGCCTGAGGGAATGGCATGGAGCTGCGTCAGGGAAAGGGTCTGCACCAGAGGGCGGTGGGCATTGCCCCATTGTCAGAGTTCAAAGGGCGTTTGGACAGTGCTCTGAGACATAGGGTTTGAGTTTTGGGTGGTGCTTTGTGGAGCAGGAGGTTTAATTTAATCCTTGAGTGTCCCTTCTAGCTCAGAATGTTCTGTGGTTCTAGAAAGGCAGTAAGGAGGCCATATGTAATAAGCAATGAGCAGTACAGTGGGATGCAGATATGGCCAGAACACTGACAGCTTCTTCAGAAGTGGACTGTGGGAAAACTCAAATGGTTCCCGTGACATTACCCACGCGCCCTTTTATTGAAGAAGTGGCAGCAGCACATTTTTTTTGCTGTGTGAGCATTTGTGTTTACATCTACCAATTACAGCTTCCTTGGAAGGTCCTTATGAGTCCCTTCCAACTCAAGATGTTCTATGATTCTTGGGTAACCAGACTCAATGAAAGAACTTAATAACTTATCTTACTGTAACTTACTGTTACAATGTTCTAAAAAATTGCAGCCATCACAGAGACTGAAAAAGGACGTGTTCTCAATGAAATACACTGCTTATTCTTTATTTGATGTATGCTTATGAGATGCCAAAAGAGCACCCTCCAGTTTAGAGCTCAGTAGAGTACCTTTAGCAAAGATAAGGTTATGGAGATGATTAACAAGGAATAACAGAAAAGAGTACTATGAGGAGAAAAAAAAAAAAAAAAAAAAAAAAAAAGCTGCAAAGGTTAGTTCATTGAGAGGCTGGAATCCTGTATGTAAAAAAAATTCTAACTTGAAAGACAAGTAAAATATGCAATTGAAGTACTGGTTTAAAGGCTGGGTTTTCATAACAGTGGTTAGAAGAAGGTATCATATTGTATTGGCCTCCTGGCCTTTTGTTCTGTTTAAACCACAGTACCTTTCAGTGATGTTTTTGCAGTGCCTGAAAGACAATGTCTTGATGCACGTGTAGCTCTGTCATTAATCTGAGGTGCTGTTTTCAGGGTCAAGACTGTTCCTTTATTTCTCTGTAGATCTTCCCAGAGATTATAGGTTCCTCTTTTTCCATTTGATATTTTGCGTCCTTACCCAAAGTTCCCTCTTGGTTTCCCCTCCTGAATCTTTGCATACATCTTGTCATATAATTTCAGCCTTTCTTTCCTTTTATTGCTCCTTCTTTCCTTTCTTCACTTTTACTTCCTCTGTTGTCTGTCTAATGATTGCTGTTACCTAACTCCTAGAGTTTCCTATGAATTAGTTGCATCACACACTTTCACTCTAAAACATAAAAAGCTGTAAATCTTTTAAGCGGGCACAGTGGGATGAGGTTCTGGAAAGAGTGTATCAAATTGAGAAGACAGAAACGGAGGAGAATTGAGCATTTCTCCATCCTTTGAAGTGAAAGGTCTTGCACCTGGGTTACGATAACCCTCCACTGTCACTACGAGCTGGAGGATGTAAAGACAGCACACAGTCCTGCTGAACAGGACTTGGGGGTAGAGGTGGGTGGCAGCTGGATGTGAGCCAGCAGTGTGCCCTTGCAGCCTAGAAAGCCAGCTGTGTCCTGGGCTGTTCCAAAAGAAGTGTGGTCACCAAAGCAAGAGAATGATCCTGCCCCTCTGCTCTGATGAGACCTCAGCTGGAGTACTGGATCCAAATGTGCAGTCCTTAGTACAGGTGAGACATGGACCTGTTGGAATACATCCAGGGGAGGGCCACAAGAAATGATCCAAGAGATGGATCTCCTCCTCTACAAGAACAGGCTGAATCTATTCAGCACAAAGAAGAGAAGGCTCTGAAGAGACCAGGTAGCAGACTTTCAGTATCAAATGGGAGGCTGTAAGAAAGAAGGGGACAGGCTCTTCATCAGGATGTTCGGTGACAGGACAAGGAGAACTGGTTTCAAATGAAAAGGGGAGATTCAGACTGGATATAAAGAAGAAGTTATTTATGATAAGACTGATAAGACACTGGTGTAAGCTGCCCAGAGAGGTGGTGGATGCTCTGTCGTCCCTGGAGACATTCAAGGTCAGACTGGATGGGGCTCTGAGAATGTGATCTAGCTGTAGATTATCTTAAAGGATCTCTTCCAATTCATAGGATTCTGTGATTCTACAGATTCGTATTGAGTTATCCATCTGTTTCATTGAATCTTCTGTATCAGACCAGACTTGAAAAAATAAACTTCTTAGTTGCTTTGGTACTAGATGTGACTGTGTCACAGAAAGAGCATCTTTAATGTGACTTCTGTTTTTCTCTTCTAAAACACAGGTGGAACAGGAGTCCTGTGGTGGCTCTATGCTAAAGAACGAATGTCTGCCAGTGCTGTTGAGACTCAAATAGCCAAAGAAAATCGTCAGGCTCTCCTGATCTATGCCATTTCAGCTACTGTCTTCACGGTATGTTTTCCTAGTTATCAAATGATTTTCTTGTCTGACCTTTCTGTTTGTTTATTCAGGTGTGAGGTTTATATCTCGCAAGCTTTAAATGTTTATTTCTACTACAAGTTCTGCTGCAATGTCTTTTTTTCCTTCTTAGCATTGTTCTGTAATATGTTCTTGTATCAGGAGGGAGCTCTTAACTCTGCACCTGTTCTGTTGTACTCTAAGATGTCCACAGAGACCTCCCATGAATATGAAGCTCCCAATCCAGTTTCACTTATGAGATTTTTGTTAGGCTCCCAGTTCAGAGGTACTTTGCAATTTCAGTTTATTTAAAAGTCTGCTCATATTTCTGAAATCACTTGTTCCCAAATTTCTTCCACTTACACAAGGATCTTTTTGAAAGTGCTGGCACAAGCTGCCCAGTGAAGTTGTGGATGTCCCATCCCTTGAGGTACTCAAAGCCACCAGGTTGGATGGGGCCCTGATCAATATTATCTAGTGCCTGATTTAGTAGTTTGTAACCCTGCCTATGGAAGAGGGGTTGGAACTAGATGATCTTTAAGGTCCCTTCCAACCCAAGCCATTCTATGATTCTGAAATATTAACACTACTAAACCAGTGTGTGTTCTCTCAGGCATGTTATTCACTCAAAATCATTGGCCTTGCAACTAAAAATTGTCAATGATTGACTGACTTACATGACAAGTCCACCATACAGTGTCCAAAAATGAATGTTAAATTGTTTTCTTTGTTAAATCTTCCAATCTTGCTAAATTCATTGCTATAACAGCGTAACTGAGGGTGAAATCTGGCATACTCTTGTAAGCCTGTAGCTGATGATGATTCCAAATAAATAATTTGAGATTAGAATTCCTTAAATATGTAATTTGGAAAATAATTTCTCACCAAAAGAAGCTGATCCAGACTTTACATTTTGATCTTGTGCTCGCAAAATAGAACATATGTTAATTTTCTTTGTTTAAATATCCCAACTGTGCAAAGTATTTGCTTGCTTATTTTTGAGTTCTCTAAAATGTGATTTGTAAAACTTCTTCTTCTAGGTTATCTTGCTTTTGATAATGTTAATTATGCGCAAACGAGTAGCTCTCACAATTGCCTTGTTCCATGTGGCCGGCAAGGTCTTTATTCACCTGCCACTGCTAGTCTTCCAGCCATTTTGGACATTCTTTGTGCTTATCCTCTTCTGGACGTATTGGATCACAGTCCTACTTTTCCTTGGTACTACAGGTAAACAGCTCCCAGGCTTATTTTGAAAAACATACTATATTTAAGCCAGCTTTCATATGTTTTGAAGAGATGGTAATGTAAGGGCCATTGCATGCATTTGCTGTCTCCAGAACGTAAGTACACTGGAAGTGTTAGTATTTTCCAGATTATTAGTGAAATATTCTTCGATTTTTCTTCTGTTTGTACATGTTATTCTGAGAGAAGCTAGTGTACTCTGAATTTCTGCCTGTTGTAGGAGCATAGACGAGATCTTTGTTCGTGATATGGTCTTGTCAAGAGCTCCTAGAATTAGTCAGTCTTAGAGGTTCAAGTCTTAGTTACTTCAGTAGAGAAGCCTAGCAAATGCTTTTAAAATGGAAGATGCTTGTTTTAGTTTGCAGTTAATTGTGGACAGTAAAGGCCATAATTCATCACCAAAACTGTAGAATTTGAAAATTACTGCTAATTCAGTGTATCAGTGTTTCAGATCATAGAGCTATTTCTGTAATGATCACTGTGTAAATTATATCAAGAATAAAACAGACAAATCAAGAATGAAAATATAATAAAATTTTTATTGGTACTTGGTAGGTCTGGTTGGTCTTGGAAGTTTTCACTGTGTGGCTAAATGAAAAAATAATAATGTTGTAGCATTTTGAATATTATGCATATTATCAACGTTATTGTATTTTTTCAACTGCTGTTATACTGATTGTCTCAAAAGGTATGTCTTTTTTATGAACTGTTTTCCTAAATCTGACATCTAGTAGCATGAGTAGAATTTAGGGTGGCTCCTCTCCGAATGGTTACGAACAGCTAATTACTGATTCTTTCTTCTTAATTTCTAGGTAATCCTGTCCCAAATGAAGAAGGATTTGTTGAGTTTCGGTTGACAGGCCCCCTGAAGTACATGTGGTGGTACCATGTAGTAGGTCTCATCTGGATCAGTGAGTTTATCCTAGCCTGTCAGCAGATGACAGTAGCAGGAGCTGTTGTGACATACTATTTCACAAGGTAAGGATAAACTTAGCTTTATTGTGAGCAGCCTAGAAACGCAATTAAGAGAAATAATGAAAGATAGAGCTTTTGGGGAGAACACTTCCTGCCTGCCTGAAAGCTGGAGAGTGGTTGAATTGTATTAACCTGTTTTATATCATGTGAAGTTTTATAATAACATGTTCTGCTGGTTATGGATGATATTCTGGTGTTTAGGATTATCTACCTTGCAACATGTGCACATTGTGAAAACATGGGTGATGGACTAGCAGAAAAGAATGTGCCTAGAAGGCTATCTGTAGTACTAATACTAGTGCTCATAAGCTCAATAGAGACTGAAAAGCTACTGGCAGCATTTTGTTGTTATTATTTTTAATTGCAAAACAATGGCCTTTAAAATGGCTTTCATTAGTCTTTCTTACTTCAGATTGCTCAGGGTATTAATAGATTCATTATTTACATGTAGATGCTCACAAAATTATGTACAAATATTAAAGTGATACTAAATATGTATGCGTTAAAACTCCTTATTTCACTGCGTGTCCTCAGCTGGGTATTAGAACATTACCCTGGCTATTCTGCATGTATCTGCTGGCTGCTCAAGAAAGCAATAGCAATGCTTAGTAATGCTTAAGCAGTGTTTTTTAACAATCTTCAGGCATTAGAATTTGGTTTCACAGAGGTAAGACTAATTTCATAATCACAGGCTTGTCCAGATAGCTTCATCCGAGCTTTAGAGATTTGTCTTTAGTGTTTGAAGACTTTTCTGAAGTTAAGGGTGCTCAAAATGTACACAAAATAAGCGAAGATTTTCTTGTTTAAGCCATTTAGGATCCACTTTTTTCCCCTGGAAACCAAACCAACAACAGAAAACAAACAAACAAAAAACCAAAAAAAACCAACCTGATATCAGATGTGTTATTAGTATTTCATGAGAAAAAAATGGTATTTCAACGATCTGAAGTGCTGTGTTTTGGTATGTGGAGCAGAACTGTTGCAATATTTTTATTAAGGAAAAGAGTCAACGATTCTAATTATCTGTTTATCACTTTTGTAAAAGTAAAATAGAAAAATGCACATCATTATTCAGGAATGAACCTTCACATTTTCTTGGTCTTTTCAAGACAATATAATGCAGGTTATTTGGCTAACGAGCAGCATGAATAAAGGGTGTTGACAAAGTATTTAGCAGTATTGATTTAATTAAGCAAGCTTTTCATGTGAAGGATATGATTAAGAAAAACTATGAGGGATATCCATCAACCCTACTTTATTCTTGTGATATGCTATGAAAAGTCTAATTTTTATTTTAATGGGTTTTCAAATAATCATACAGATATCGTTTGAAGTGCATAATCATAAATGTTTAGTTTGTCTTTTTTTAGTTGTGACTGTTACCTGAACTACATTTGATTTCTTATCTGCCCTAGTCTCTTTAAAATATATCAAATGTAAGGCAAGTAAATTAATTTACTGTGGTGACAGAGACTATACTTATTAATGATGATGTCCTCCAGTATACCAGTGAAATACATCTGAGAAGTTATCGGATGCTGCAGGGTTGTAAAAAGTAAAGAACTATGAATGTACAGAGTAAAGTTTTACACTGATGCAGGTTAACAATGCTTGTGTTTCATTTCCTTTATTGATTAATGTATTTGCCCTCACCTGAAAGTGTATGATTTTACTTTCAAGTGAAACTGCCATTCCTTAATAGGAATTTTAATTTAAGATAGCAATTATCAATTGTTCCATACTATTAGTCTTTCTTGAATTTTGAAGTATAATTCTAAATTGAAAAATGACTTGGTATTAAGTAAAGGGCATGAAGATATTTCCACAGCAAATATATATGGAAGAATGTTTTAGATATGTTTGCTATTCATTCACCTTAGCAGGAAAGAGTTCTTGCAACTCGGGCAACAGTAGATCTCAACATCATATGTGATAGAGTCATCATTCAGTTGCATTTACTTGACAAGGAGATAGTGATCTGGTTGCCTACGTGTAGGGCTTAGGCCTTAAATTTCATGTGATTGTGTCCAAAGGGGGATTTGACTTCCCTCACCTGAGCTCTAAACGTTATTTGGGAGAAAATATAGGGAAAACCTGTTTAGTTATTAACGTTTCATGGTGAAGTTGCACAGAAGTTATTTTCATATGATGAAGACTATTTCTTGACCTTTTTGAATGAAGCTTGCATGAAAATAGTTTTCTCTCGAGATGGGAACTCTTTGTTTTTTTAATACGTGGTTACTTGAGGATATGATAGGTAAATTAGACATCCAAAATTGTGACTTGCACAAACTATCCGTGTTTTATGTGGAGTGAACAATATACAGTCACAACTAGAAGGTGGGTAGGAAATTCCTTTTGCAGCCAGCCTGTTGCTAATTGGTAGCAATTCTGTAGGATGACATTAAATGCATGTTGATTATTCTATGTCGTTCTTTTTCTCTTTTCAACAGGGAGAAAAGGAATCTGCCATTTGCTCCTATCCTGGCGTCTGTTAACCGCCTTGTCTGTTACCATCTAGGAACGGTTGCAAAGGGGTCTTTCATTATCACATTGGTGAAGATACCACGAATGATTCTTATGTATATTCATACACAACTCAAAGGAAAAGTAAGAGAAATAGATTCCATATCCTTTCTGAAACTCAAAGCCAGATGTGCTTGCAGATAATTTAGTTAAACTTATTGTGGAGGCTGAAAGTGTAATTTTGAAATATTTGGTCTTTCAAGGACCATAAGACTGAGAGTAACTGCTTGAGTTGACAAGTTAATTATGAGTTACTTGAAACATGAAGTAATATTATTTTCTTAAGATCTGCTCTTTTTACTGTCTTTTTACTTTGCTTACCTACATTTTGTGCTTTCCTAGGAAAATGCTTGTGCTCGCTGTATGCTTAAAGCCTGCATTTGCTGTCTTTGGTGTCTAGAAAAGTGCCTGACCTATTTAAATCAGGTAAGATTTTCAGTATTCAAGTTTCATGTAAAGTAATGATGATTTATGTGATTCGTAGAATGTAGTTTTAGGCTGACACATAATGTGTTGTACTTTGAAGCTGAACTGGACAATGGTACTTAAATCTTGTCTTCGTTACTGAAATTAAAATACAAGGATTACATTAGTCTTTGTTTACATTGCAAAGGTGAAAGCCAGTATTGATCTTTGCAAAGTTTGTATATCTTTACATTAGATCAGATGGATTTATTTAGAGGTTGGAGGTGACCCTCTCTAAGTCCTCTGTAAGGCTACATCTGATTTTAAAAATGTTTGCTATGACAAGGGACTGAACCTTTTTTGGGTTTAATCTTTCATGTTTACATGATTGAAAAGCATTCAATTTTCCCCATTTTCCCAATTTTTTACTCCTTCTCCTATTCCCCTTTTGAAAGATCTTTAATCTAAATCTTCTCTTTCTCTTTCTTTCTCTTTCTTCTTCCCAGAATGCATACACAGCCACAGCTATCAACAGCACCAACTTCTGCACCTCAGCAAAGGATGCCTTTGTTATTCTAGTGGAGAATGCTTTGCGAGTGGCTGCCATAAACACTGTTGGGGATTTTATGTTGTTCCTTGGAAAGGTAAGTCTTGGCAAGCTTTCCTTAGCATTGACTTGTACCTCAGATAGAAAGTGTTTTAAAATTCCTTTTTTTCACTTCTCACTTTATTGCATCTACACCATGTACAGAAGGAGCTGTCCTAAATTAGGGTAGGTAAGCAGATGCTTAGGTCAAGCAGAAATGGCTGAATTATGAGCTTTTGCATGAATACATTTTTAGGGAGTCAGGTGAAGTGTGGCCAGAAATTCTGAGGATGTGTGTGTTTTTGTAGTTAGAAATGTAAAATCTTAAGGAAATGAGGCATTTCTTCTGAATTCTGCTCTTCTGGTTTTTTTTTTGAAAGTTGGCACTTTGTCGATCGCCATTTTTGACAAAATTGCACTGGAAGGCAGTATGGGAGTATGCAATTAAGAACTGTTAGTTTAAGCAACAGAGCTTAAACTTATACTCTGAGAAATGAAGTAGACTAGAATAATTCCTGTGATCAGTCAGTCTTTTGTCTCTCTAGGAACTCCCCTGTACTTGGTGCTTGTCAGACCATACCTGAAGTAGCATGTTTAGTTTTGGGTCCCCCTGTACAAGAGTGGCATTGAGGCTCTGAAGCATGTCCAGAGAAGAGCAGTGAAGTGTCTGAAGGCCATGTCTCAGGAGAATTAGTTGAGGGAACTGGGATTGTTTAGATTGGAGAAGAGGAGGCTTCTGGGAGACATTAATGCTCTGTGCAGTGATTTGAAAGGAGATTGTAGAGAGGTGGAAGTCAGATTCTTCACCCAGATAACAGAATCCTGATGAGAAGGAATGGCCATGGAAGATGCAGGTTGAGTATTATGAAAAACTTCTCAGAAAGAATGGTGAGGTATTTGAACACGCTGCATAGGGAGGTGTTGGAGTCACCTTCACTTGAGGTATTCAAGGCCGTGTAGGTGTGGCACTAATGAACATGATTTAGTGTGTGTAATGGTGATGGGTTGATGGTTGGACTTGATGTGGGACATATTTTCCAACCTGGATGATTTTGTGATAGAGATCTGTAATCCAGTAAATTACTAGCTTTCTGAGGATTTAATTACTGATAGTGTTATAGCAAATAATTGCCATTATTTACTAGAATTTGATACTTGTCCACTTAAATCACCTGACATTTTCCCACTAGTTGAACAGTTTTCCTTACTACAATTCTTCTGTTAAATCAGACTTCAGCGCACTGAGCTTTAATCCAGTAACTAAATCAATGAGATGTGTGGAGAAGTAAATATATAATGAAAATATAAATGCTCTAGGGATCATAAAATACATAATGCAGTTTTGTGGAGGAGTCTGAAATGTGTTAGAGAACATCTCCTGTAAAGGATCTCTTTTAAGATTATTAGAGAAATACACCAGTAACAGAAATGTTAAAATGAACAGTGCAGTTTGTTAAAAATAGTATCAACTGAACAGTGCTAGGTTGCCACTCCATCTCCTCTACAATCCAGCCCTGTGTTTTCATGATACAGTTAAGCTGACCTATTCTTCAGTTTGAGTTTCAGCTGCAGTTCGTAATAAAAGGTTCATAAATGTTAAAAATGTTGAGTATCCACAACAGTTGTTATTCTGAAAGATGAAGCTGATACCTAAGGAAATACCTCCGTAGTTTTACAGAAACATATGATGCACATTTTGTACAGTAAAACCATTGTAATCTGACCTATAGTCAAATCTGATCATTTCCAATTCTGATCTCCTTTCTCTGTATGGAGTTAAGTCAGTAAAGACAAACTTGGAAGATGTTTTGGCTAAGTTAATTCCTACAGCAAAGTAAAAACCATGCCATTGCCCCAAGCTTCACCCCCCCCAAGACAAACAAACCAAAACCAGGCACAGTTGCACCTGTGTTGTTCTGTAACATCTGGTTCTGTCTTTTATTAATAATTATAAGAGTAATGTTCTTTTGTTGTAAGAATATTCTGTAATACTAGAACTATTACCAGTTGTATATAAATGTAATTGGACCTGAAAAATACCTTGTGTATTGGAGGATGTGTTTGAAACTATTTTGATTTTCATTTGCTGGGCTAACAAGTAAAACGTCATTTCTATTCAGAGAGGTGGGGAGTCAATGGTCTAAAGATGCTATCATTGCTAGCATCCGCAACCTCTAGTTATAGGATTGGCAAAGCAAGGAAAGCGTAACTTGAACTATGACAATAGTAATGATAAAAGCCTTTTGATGATTTATGTTTTCCACTTCAGGTCCTGATTGTCTGCAGTACAGGTTTGGCCGGGATTATGTTGCTGAATTATCAACGAGATTACACTACCTGGGTGCTGCCTCTCATAATTGTCTGCCTCTTTGCGTTCCTGGTTGCTCACTGCTTCCTTTCCATTTATGAAATGGTTGTTGATGTCCTTTTCTTATGTTTTGCCATCGATACAAAATACAATGATGGAAGCCCTGGGAGGGAATTCTACATGGACAAAGTACTCATGGTAAGTTCACATAGCTCTCTGAGTCAAAGCATATAGTTCCATAAGGTGGATGTCTTGAGAGTGCAGTGAATGCACTAGCTGGATATAATTTTTTTTTTTTTTTTTTAAATTTAGATTACCTCACTGTCTTATTCATGACTTGATCAGCCAGGAGTGCTGTGATGAGCATTAGATAAGTAGTAAGGCCTCCCTGATTTGCAGTTATCAATGCTGACTTAAACTTGCCATCAGCTAGATGAGCAGCCCTCATACAGAATCATACCTTTGGGTATCATTTCTTGTAAATGATGCAGTGCAGAAGAGAAGGCAGCAAAACAGTATGGAAAGATTTGCTAGTTGTTCTTTCCTAAAAAGGACCTCCCTTGCGACGTGGAAGAAAATAAACATCAGAATATTCTACCTCACGTACAGTTAGTGACCACGTTGAAGTTTTTCTTTTCAAATGGACAGCAACTTGAAATATGTCGTGCATAAAAGCTACTGGTTTTATGTTCTGTGCAGGAGCCTAGATTCTATGTCAAGACCCTTTGCACAGTTCAATTTTTGTTGTTCTGTCTTATTCCCTGTTCAGTCCACCTGGAGAATGAGGCACAAAAATTCTGCCCCTCAAATTGTTCATTTTGTTGATGAGTAGATGATTTATTTCTTGATAATGTTTTACCACTTTAAGTGGCCCTTTTCACCGCCAGATGTAGGCTAGAGGATGACACTTGTGATTTCTCAGTGTAATTTTTTTTTCTGACTGACTTGTTGGAAAGTTGTGCCAAGAATTTAACATTAATTGCTGGTAAAACACTGCAGAATTTAGGGTATATGGTAAAAGGGAGTGCTATCTGATGACTTGCATTTTAGTACAGAGCAGTAAAATGCAGCATGCTGTCTAAGAAGACAGCGAAGATCAATCACGAAAACATTGCAGTTTTCTTTAGTCGGCAGTCGGTATCACAAAGTGCTAGTAGTGAAAGTTTACTGAAATTTGATACTGAGTGCTTGCCTTTAAGAGGAGAAAATAGATGAAAAGCACCTCAGTTAATCTTTGAGTAAGTAGTTTTGATTGGGGAAAATTTAAAGAATGTGCTTTCAGGGAAGTCAGGAAAATAAACAAGACTTTGCAAGTAATGATCTCCAAGTCCTTCTATTTAATGGTGTTCTGCCATTGCACTTAATTCTTAGGACAGGATTTAGTAACTGAGATTTAGTTTTGTGACAATTGCCCTCCTACCTTCCTTCCCCCAAAAAAGGGGAACTTTGTGGACATTACAGAAGTTGTTATGGCACCCCATGACACATGGTTGTTTCTTCAGAATTTGATGTTGGAGAACCGTGTGGTGGCTCTTTTGATATTTTATGAACAATTTTACTCCAAAGAAGTGGAAGAAGGAAGTTGCACTGACTTTTTGAGCAGTTACATCTCTGAAGTTTTGTATTTAGATTAGATATTTGAAGACTGCTCTGAGAAAGCACTTTTCACGTTACTGCTGTTTTTCAGGAATTTGTGGAGAATAGTAGGAAATCTATGAGAGAAGCTGGCCGGGGAGGTGGAGCTGAGGGCAGAGAGCTAAAACCAATGGTAGGTGCAGATGAGGAGGTGGCGATCCTCCAAGAGTTTCACTTTTACTTCCTCTCCCTCTTTGTCTTTACTGACTGCACTTCTTCAGGAGAAGTTTTTGTTCTCTGTATCACTCAAGACGTTCTGCTTTTTCTGTTTGTGAGCTTGCCTATCACCTGGATGGCAGAGTTTTTGTCACAGCTGAGACCATCTCCTGTAAAAGTAAGATGAAAGGAACTGTGTCATATGAAACAAATGCAGTATTGTTTCATCAGGCTTAATAGTGAATGCTGTGAGGTATACAGATAATCTTAACTTCTGAGAATTTTCAAAATAATATGACTCTGGAATTTGTTTGACTATTCTGACTTCAATCTGCTTTCCATTCTTGAAATAAGCTATTTTTGTTTTACAAACACTGTAAAAGCCTGAGGAATACTACTGAGCACATCCATTGTTGCAAAGTAGAACCAGGCATTTAAAGTTGTCACCAAATTATTTTATAGAGTGCCAAGGGATTGTGTACAGTAATTCCTTTCAACCTGCTCAAATGACATTTCTCCCAGTTGTTTGTTTTTATTGCCAACTACTTATGTTGCTTGTCTCTTTGTGTGCTCTTTCCATCTCACACTGTCAAATATGCAGACAGTGAACAGTGCATCATCTATGCTTCCGCAGCCTGTCTTACTTATGATGTGCCTATTAGGAAGGCATTGCATGTCTCAGTAGCCTGGAATAAGGAACAGCCTTACATGGTACAAGTAACAGATAGGTGGATCAGTTTGGAAGGTGGAGAACTGAGAGCATACGATGGAAAGCCAGGCTGGGCAAGGTATGACTTGTCATCGTGCAGTATGACTTTGTGAAATACAGTCATCTTCAATCATTAATTTCTCAGAGGGGCCTAACTCAGTTCTTCACCAAGTGGACAGTCTGTTAATCTAATGGGATCCGAATAGGTGTATGCTAATAACTAGATTTTTTTTAGTTATATACCTGAGGCCATGTTGCATGAGCACTTTCTGACCTAGCTGGAATGAGTTCCTGCTGTAGAATTGATAGATGTGTAGCTTTGCGTGTTTTGCTATTTCATTATAGCATACCAGTTTCTAGATTTGCTTACGCCTAAATGCTTCTGTGTCTGTACATTTTAAAAGCAAATTCTATGCTCGTTTACTGTTTCCTTCAGGGAGTAATTCTAGCTGTTCAGACACTTACGTTAGGATTTTCAAAGTGGTCTAACAATGAAGCTGCCATTAAAATGATTGAAAATTGGGTTTGCAGACCCTCTAGTCACATTTACAAATATTATCCTTCAAAAATTTTATGTTAATGTGAATCAGTAGTTTGAATTAGAGATTAAGTGGTTTTCTGCTTATGCTTTCCTCACTGCTTGCACTGACCAGTACTCTGACCTGTACTTGACACCTAAATCTTCATTATGAAAGCTTATGTCCATTCCCATCGTAAAAAGGCAAAGGAAGTACTGGCAAGTCAAGCATCTTTTTTGTTCTTGTAGAAACATGACTCTAGGCAACTGAGCCTGGCAGTGATCAGAACTGCTGGAGAAGATGCTGAGCTCTTGAGTGTCATGTGCTGAATTACTCCCATTTCTGGTGCTCATTTGATAGTCTTGTTTGGAATGGATGGGGCCTTGTTTTCTCAAGAGGTACCCATGTTGGGGTGTTAAACCCAGATGAATAAGATAAATATTAGGTCCCAACTTCCTGACAAGGGCTGTGCACAGCATAGATAGTGGCAGTTATTACATCTGGGAAGTCTCTGATACCTTGCACCAAAGCACCGATAAAGGTTTCAGATATGTCGGATTAGGATCATTAATAGGTCTGTTCTGTAACTGTAGCACCTGTAGCCCCAAAATTGGATGTTTCAAAATCAGATTAATTTTTCTTCAAAACAAAAAAAATTCTAACAAATGATCTTTAGTATTTTGCCTCAGTTTTCTCGAAATGGTTACTTTCTAGGTGTGACAGTTCTAAAAGTGGAGCACCCTAAATGCGTTTGTATTTTAGATAGATAGATACCAGAGGTGAGGAAACATTTAGAACATTCGGTCTCCAAAGAGACTGCCAGGAAAACCTTTCTCTACTTTCTTTATGGTTTCCAGTGACCCTTTTGACTCAGTTTCTCCTTGACCTATGGCATTTGTCTAAGACTGTACTGTATGACTTTGTTTTCTAGGCCTCTGGAGCAAGTTCATCTTGAAACTAGCCAGCCATATTGGAACCCATTGACATTCCAAAACAATATATATATACATATATATATATATATATATATATATATATATATATACATATATATATATATATATATATAAATAATCAGCCAAAATCAGAGAAAAGGAACAGGGATTTAATACTTTTTTTAACAATTATTTTTGTGAAACATGTACTCTTTTCATACGGGTGGCTTTTACAAGCAGCTTTATCATTGTTCCATTTTTTAAAATTTATTCATTGTAGTCACAGAAATGTTGATTCTTATCGGCTTGATATTTCACAATCTGGAGGAGGAATTATTGTAAAGATAATTTTAATGATGATTGGGTTTCGAGACAGATTTCCAATGACATGGCTAATCTGCTGAGAGCTTTTTGTTTAGTTTGTGTAAATTTGCATTAAATTTAGGACAGCTACACATAAGCAAAATCTTCAAATCAAGAACAGTATTGAATTTAGCTTTCTAAAAGGTAGTTTCAGTGTGAGTTACTTCAGTTCTAACTGGTTTGTAAGCAGTCATTTTATTCTACGGCCCTGGCAGGGCCCAATTTTGTTTATCAGTATCAGATATCACAATAACCGACTCCTCAGGTATTCACATGTGTGGGAGCCCTTGCATCTCCTATTCAGCAGAAACTAGAAAATGGGGAATAATGATTTTTATATGCAATTTACTTCATGTTTTACCCTACTTACCCTCTTACCAATTCCTCCCCCCCCACCCTGCCCCAGATTCAGTAGCCTCCTTCAAACGTCAACAGTGCTCCTTTGGGGACATAGATTCTCCATATGAGCAATTCAAAGAACAGATTATTAAAGCTCAGTCTTAGTCATACTCATGATTAATTCATGACTTGATGTGAACATGCTGAGGATGGAGGGAGAAATGAACTGTCATACTGTACAAACAAGTACTCTGTAGTTCATTTCATTTAATGTCAGAGAGGTTTGGGATGTGTAAGGGACCATTCCTTGCCTATTGTTTCACCCATATTTCTATGTACTGTAGCAGGTGGTTGAAACAGGAAGGGGCAGAGGTACGTTTCTTTGGAAGTGTAACTGCCTGGGATAGTTATTTGAAGTCATCAAATAATGATAAGAGAACGTGTTTTGTTTTGTTTTTATTTTAAAAAAAAAGAAAAAAAAGAAAAAGCAGTAGTAGTATGGTTCTGAGATAATTGCATTTCTTTCAGTCTGGAAGTTCACCAGATATGAATGCTAATATTTTGTTCAGCCTGATGTACTGGTAAATGGTTAAAAGTGTATTTGCTAAGAATTCATGATCTGTCAATGCTATATAGTCCTTTTGTTACGATTTTTTTAAGAAAACTATTTTTGTTAATGTAAAGTTAATACTGCAGAGCAGAATTTTTAAACTTATTGCACTAAATATAAGCTCTGTACAAATAAATAATGCCTCAATGGTTTGATCACTCCATTCAAGAAAACCTTTTGAAAGAGAAAAGCCCTTCTGTGGAAGCTTTGCAATGGAGTGAAGAGGTATGTCTAGTTAAAGAAACTCAGTTGTACTTATGGTTTAAAGAGTAAGCTGTTCTCTGTGCTTCCTCTCAGAGGATCAGGCATTTAAAAAATAGAGTGTCATGTAACTAATCAGTGCTCTTACCTTTTGGCAATAGTGAAATGTTTCACCTTTGCTTCTAGAAATCATTTGATACTTACACTTGTTTAGTTTTCTTTCAGTAAGCCAATTAAAAAGACTTACTGTTTTCATATCACAGAAAGCAAACTGTATGAAAAGAAAATGAAAATATGTTTAGAGGTGGTAGCTGCTGGGGAGATGGGAAGACAGAATTAACCAGTCTTGCAAGCACTAAACACTTATTTAACCAAACCACATCAGCTCCTCTGACATCAGGAGGGCTCTCTAAAGTAGTGAAGTTGTAAGATACATTTGTGTGTATGTGTGTGTTAATTGAACTAGAACTTCAGCCTAGGGTTCAGACTGGAGCACTGACTGGTGAGGCCTCTCAATGTGAGTTAGAAGTCAGGCTATCTAAAAGAAGCCCTGTAACAGCCTTAAAGTTGTGGAGAGAAAGCATTCCTGCTATTAAAGCTGGTTGCTAAAGCTGCAATTGCACTGAACACTGTTGTCTGTGTAGATCAGTGGGGTTTAGCAACAGAAATTTAAAAACTGGCTCATGTGAATCCTAGAAACTGGATTCCAAGGCTAAGAGACTTCTCACATACCCAGTTGCTTCCAGAGAACTGTAATTTCCGTCTTGTTGGAAATTATTGGAGGTGCTTTGATCAAAGCCTTGGATTCTGCTCATTTTGACAACAATTATCTGCCGTCACAAGTTCTGCAAGTTTGTGCTCTCTGCTCACTGGAAGTGGGAGCTTTTCTCTGCGATCGCAACTAGAACTGCAATTGGAAACAAATTTTGTATTTTTGTATGACTTGACTGTGCACCATTTTTATAGCAGTTTATCCTGTTTTAAGAACAAATTTGATTTATTTACATGGTGTTTAAGAGATACAGGCAACACTTTTCTATGGGTAGCTGTAAAGTTTAAGTGACAAACCTATATCATTACAGAGTTCTTAATAAAATCATATGCACCATTCTTGTGTGTATCTGGCATGCTGAGCTTTTCAGTCATGCCAAACTGCATTCCATCAACATGCAGGCTTCCAGTGGCCCTTCAAAGCTTTTAAATGTTCTTTAAGGAGAATTGCAACCAGACTGCAAGCTATCCTCTTCCAGTGTGGTCTTGTGCAAGGAGATAAATAGAAGACTGGAGTCTAAAAAAACTTTT